ATGTAGATTTCTTATGGCAAACCACCTTAAGTAGATGTGTCTACTAGAATTGACCGAAAAGGATAACTACAGAGGGGTGGTCTGATTTTCTCGAAAACACTTTAGTAAATTACTTTGGGGATTCCCGGCAATGTTTTTCGATGGCGCAATAGCAGTATAAAAACAATTGTAAGCCTAATCAAATGGTCAAATGGTCAAATGGTCAACTGCTATCACGCAATTCTTTAGTGGCCAAGGTACAATGTAGGCACAGATTTTTACAATGGCAAACTTTTGGCAGTAAACAGGTACGAGATTAGAGATTCTTGAGTAGAATAGGTAAGTAGACTAAAATTCGGTTTCACTTAACTCTGCGCATAGGTGCCATTGTAGAAAGAAAGCGTGATGCCGCAAAGCCGCGGTGGTGTTTGAGTTTAGTCATCGAAAATGACCTCATTTTCGCAAAGCGGGGCCAGGAGATTATTCTTTTGAAAGACTCAGAACTCCCAGTCGACTTCTTTTACTTTCGCAAACAATACCCCTCAATCACTCCAATATGTCCGCCTCCTTCAAGATCACTGATCTCCTGCCCCTCCCGAACTCGAGTGTCCGCATCCCGCGCCTCGGCTTCGGTGTCTACCGCTCCCCCACCAACCAGTGCGTGCAGTCCTGCCTGAAGGCATTGGACGCGGGCTACCGACACATCGATACAGCACAGTTCTATGCCAACGAGGCGGAAGTCGGCGAGGCACTGCGCACCACTAGCGTCCCCAGAGATCAGATCTTCGTCACGACCAAGGTCCTCAGCCCCGCAGCCTCGGTTGAGGCTACCTACGATAAATTGCTAGCTTCCGTGCACAAGATCGGCGGCGCAGATGGATATGTCGACTTGTTCTTGATTCACTCCTCCAGTTCCGGCTCTGCTGGGCGGAAGCTTTTGTGGCAGGCGCTTGAGAAGCTGTACGCGGAGGGCAAGACGAAGAGTATCGGTGTTAGCAACTTCGGTGTGGGGCACATCGAGGAGATGCGCTCATATGCCCAAGTGTTCCCGCCCCATGTTAATCAAATCGAGGTTGGTGCTTTTTCTTCTATTACTACTCTTCTATCTACCTGGGTAGTTGTCTGGTTTGATCGTGGTCACTGACATTCTATTTTGCAGCTCCACCCGTGGTGCCAGCAGCGCGTCATCGATGAATACTGCCAGAAGAACGGCATTATCGTCGAGGCGTATTCGCCCATTGTGCGAAACTATAAAGCCAACGACCCAACACTAGTGGAAGTCGCAAAGAAATACGGCAAGTCCACTCAGCAGGTCTTGATCCGCTATGCGCTGCAGAAGGGCTGGGTGCCTCTGCCCAAGACCGACACCCCCGAACGAATCGTGTCCAATGCGGATGTGTTCAATTTCGACCTCAGCGTGGAGGATATGGCTGTGCTGGATTCCTTCGATCAAGGCAGTGCCGGCGCTATCGTGGAGGCCGTGGACAACGAATGAGAGATCTTTGGGGCATATTCTTCATGACCCAGGCGATTCGAAACCAATCAGGCTCGACCAGGCGATGCAATGTAATCACATTGCTCGAGGTCAATAATCCGGCGGCTGCATCAGGAAAGCATTGACAGATTGAAGCGTGGCGCGAGACGGGTTCACGTCATGTTTCGACGACACGAGCCAGGCTAGACGCTGTCGAATGAACTGCTTGCTGATCGCACGTTTGCTCAGTGAGGCATCGAAGCCGCCTGTGAGAAGCAATTAGTTATTTTTTCCTCTTCCATATAGCGTTTGAATCCATCACCCAGACCATCTGGGGCATTGCATACATACCCTCGTCGTTATAAAACAGACAAACGATCGCTAGAAGCGTCCCTGCCGAAAGGTCTTTCCCATTCTCACAGGTAACCAGCACCGACAGCGACGAATCCGTCCCAAGGCGTGTGCCGATAAACTCACGCACCTTATCCAGACATTTCCGTAGATCCCGACTCCCCAATTTTCCAGAATCACAACCCAAATTGAGCCGCTTCGCATCGCCCTCCACATCCGCAGCACTCCCATTGCAGTCAATGACAAGATCATACCGACCTCCAACATCAACTCCCGCCCCCGAGCCAATGTACAAATTGCGCGTGGGAGAAATGAGCGTCGCATCCTGAGCCACATCCAGCAGCTTATGCTCAGCCACCAACCGGTCAATAAGCTCCGGCAATTCGTCTTCAGGTGTATTCTTCAAAACAGCCTGATTAGCCCAGAACACCGGCGGCGTCAGCCCATACGCCCACGCCTCGCTATCATCTCCCGCGCCTTGGATGTATCCGCCCTCGGACATTTCGGCGCCATGCACGCGCCTCGAAGCCGAGCATAGTACGAGTAGATTGTACTCATCGCTCTTGTGCAGATCCTCTGGGTGGAAATAGCTCCTGTTGGCCCAGGCGATCTGGATTGGTTTGCCAAGTTGCTGGCGCAGATTGTCCAGATCCAATTTTAGGCTCTAGTGGTATCAAGTATCAGCCACTTTTCCCCAGATGCAGTGAAATGGTTTGCGCAAGTCACGTTAATGTTACGCATGCGTACCTTTAGTGAATGCACGAATCCTTCGATTCGATTCTCGATCTGTGCTTCTTCCGATGCGCCCAGGTAATCGGGTGGAAGACGGACTGGGTGGTATGCAGTTGCGGATGGGAACAGGGCTCTGTTCAGGACGGCGCTCCAGATTGGGACAGTTTTTGATAATGCGTCTGGCATCACTAGCGGCGGGTTAACAGGGTGCTTGAGGCTTAGCTTTAGCCATGATATGCATAGTGACCATCTGGGTAAAGGGAGCGGGGTAATTCTATAGTTGGGGATGGTGCAGGTAGAGGTGGTACATACGTTTTCCTCGGCGAGTTGAGTCCACAATTACACAGCTGCAGAAGCAAAGAAAATATAGTCAGCCTTTTCCTTTCTTTTAATGGGACCTTGGGATGATCATTCAGTGGTGGAGTTGTTGCCATGGTTTATACTTGGGTCAATGAAGGTCAACCAAATGCACTCCAACACAGATGTCAATCCACAAGCAAAAAATGACAGTGAAAAAGAAGCTAGACTAACCCCCCATGATCCCTAGCTAGCGGGAGTAGCTGCAAGTTCAGCCTACGAAAGCTAAAATCCCACTGGCCGGTGTGGCCATCGGTGCTTTTGAAATAAGCACTGCCAGCCTTGGCCGTAGGCGGGATATACCAGCTTCCGCAGCGTTCATTAGCAACCAATGGTAGGCCATAGTGGTCAGCGACCTCTTGCGCAAAGGTGGCGTCGGTCTCGATAGACTGGAGCCTGTTGGCGACGGACAGCGCCGATCGACGCAGAGACGAAAGCGTCTGTGATATTGACAGCTGAGCCGACGGGAAATGAAGGGACTCTAGGGTCGGGAAAGTATCGGAGGACCCCATGCTTGCTTTGTCTTGGCTAAAGCTGTTATTGTCAAGTATATTCGATTTCAAATATTGCAGCAATATCAGGTTGTACTCCGGGGTTGTACTAGGAGCCGTTTCGGGTTTGCGGGCTGTGCAAAATGGCGATTTCGCCCGAGATCTGTTGAGTCGTGATGGCTAAATTGCTTTTGATTTGATGAGGCGTTATGTTGCGGTTTTTTTTGGTCTTCGGGTCGAATGTGAGGGAAGGCCGTTGTGGAATTAGCAGGTTTAGGATTTGAGTGTGGCCAATCATGGTGATTGTATGGAAGAGGTGGACCCGGGTTCGTACGATGTATACAACAGTTGTGCTACATGGTTCCTGGTTGTGTAAATCTGCAAGTGTCTATTGGGTGAAATAATTGCTGGCTGAAATTCTACTATGTAGGAAGTCTATAACGCTAGCTTCCGGACTGTCGCGCTCCGAGAATGCATGCTTCCAAGGTTGGGCACAACTCTCCCTAGCATTGAGATGATGATAGACTAACCTTTTGGCCATGGCGATAATAGAGTGAGCTATAATGCAGTCAAATCGCTCATCTCTCACCGGAACTGGAATAGTACATGTACTATATGTACTCTGTACCGAGGTAATATTAACGTCGGGTTTCTCTCTTAGTCTCCGCCAAGCATGCTCTGAACGTGCAAGTGCATACTCCGTACTTGATATTATTATTATCTGACCGCGTCAGTTATTTAAGATGACACGGGAAGATGGACCAACGGGCGGAACTTCGGGCCTGCATGCTTGGGTATGATTCTCAAGCATTCCGTGCCCCGGCTTTACTTGCGAATTGGAGTTTGGCCTCCCCCGGAGGACAGGAAGACAGTGAGAAGACGGAGGTATGACCGTGCATGAGTTTGGGCCTAGTAGGCTGATGTATAGTCGTATCCAATAATGTTCAATCAAACGGCCCATTTGCAGTCTAGAATCCTGTACAATCCAGACATCAGGTGAGAAGGTTCCTTGCATATTAACAGTCACTTGAGCAGAGTACATATGTACTCATGAAACAATGTCACGGGATTGAATATCAAGACAAATTTCAAACTCAGAAAACATTGAAGGGAATAAACCGGTGAGAAAATGCGAGAAAATGGGAGAAAATGGGAGAAACTACGTGAAACTATCGCACCTGCCCGGAGTAGAAAATGGACGCTAGTCTGTAAACAGACTAGCCTGTTATAGGTCTGTGCTTTTTAATTGGCTGAACACCTGGCCGTCTCCCCAAATTTGAGGTATTCGATACCTTCTTTTACACAATAGAATAGGGCAATTTAAGGTACCAGGTACTTCTGGCCCCACGTAGTGACCAGCCCCTCCCGCTCTGGCCCTGTTTCCCCTTGGAGATTATGATCGCGGCGTCATTTCTACTGGGGTCGGCTCTTGCCTTGGCTTAAATACTCCAGTCGCCTATTTCCTTGTCCCCAGGCATTCCTCTTCTCTTCATTTTGATCTGCATCCACCACTCTTCTAGATTATACTAGACCAATACTCTTCATACATTGCACTTCGACTCGTATTCCCCCATCTTGATAAACAAACACCCGGATCTACTCTCCGTGTTTTCATCATGACTAAGGTACGAGGATCGTGGTATCTCCCATAAGAGACCCACCGACGCTAACCGGGACTTGCAGATCACGGAACTCTTCTTCGATTGCGACAACACTCTGGTCCTCTCAGAGGAGCTGGCCTTCGAGGCTTGCGCCGACCTGGCCAATGAGATTTTGGAGGCGAACAACCTCCCAGACCGTTACACCGGCGACCAGCTCATCAAAGACTTTGTCGGCCAGAACTTCCGCGGCATGATGGTCTCCCTACAGAAGAAGTACGACTTCGAGATCGATGCGGAGAAGCTGGAAGGATACGTCACAAAGGAAGAGGACAAAGTCATTGCCAAGCTGGAGGCCAAGGCCAAGCCCTGTATCGGTGCCAGCGAGGAGCTGGAGAAGGTTTACGCGTCGAAGAAGTACGGTCTTGCGGTCGTCTCCTCTTCCGCTTTGCGCCGCGTGCTCGCTTCCATCAGGAAGGTCGGTCAGGACAAGTACTTTGACGAGAACAAGGTCTTCAGCGCTGCCAGCTCTCTGCCAAAGCCTACGTCCAAGCCCGACCCCGCTATCTACCTGTATGCTCTCGAGCAGGTTGGCAAGACTGCTGCCGAGACTGTTGCCATCGAGGACAGCAAGTCTGGCGCTCTTTCCGCGGTTCGTGCCGGTATTCCCGTTATTGCCTATGTTGGCAGCTACAATGGCGAAGAGACGCAGAAGGAGATGGCTAAGGCCCTGACTGACCTTGGTGCAAAGACCGTCATGTATAATTGGTCTGAGTTTGAGGATTGTCTGAAGGAAATCGAGAATGGTGGCTCCGTCGATGTTCAGTCAAGCCTTTAAACGCACTCTCGCTGGTAACGCTTGTACGCCCACGATATTATGATAGCGAGCGTGTGGTCGTTATGGAGCTATTTCTTCTATTATTTTCTGGTTTTGCGCCACTCCATGTATCATGGACTCTTGATTTCTCTTGACACTTTCTGTTATCAAAAGGTGTTTTGATTCCTTTTGACACAAGAGTGGCAAGAATTGTTCGAGACTGGACTGTGTCTAGTCCTTGCTACTTTCTTCTTTGCCTGGTGCATTATTATTTAGTATCTTCCGTCTTTGCATAGACAGGTTTTGATGCGCAATGAGATACCATTTAACTATACCTTATCATGAGTTGTTTCAGCTGTTTACTTTATATTTCGTAGGTATAGCTCTCTTCCAAGGTTTCTTATCTTAAAAAGAACCTTGGAATACACTTGGAGAAACATCGAAGACATAGACTGATAAGATAAGGGCTAACCCCGCCAACCCCGCGATCACCCCTCCCGAGGTCCCCTCCGGTTGGGATTGGTCGCCGATCTAGCAACATCAGTCCAGTACTCCATTGGACGAATAAATCATACACCATTGAATCCTGGCTTGTTCCCACCCCTGCAATCTAAATCACTAGCAGCCCATTACAATGTCAGCTCGCACGCAGGCCAAATCGAAACTCATCTCGCGGGGACCTTTGGTAAGTTACTCCAATCTCGCTGGGAGTCTCTTCAGCGATAAACGCCCAGTCTATGTATAAAATACATGTGTAGAGTTGGGATAATACCACCAAATTCGCGCCGATGCATGACTGACATGTCTTACCAAATAGGACCCCAACGAAGCCCGCTGGGCTCGAATGGTGAAAACAACATACACTGACCCCCTGGGTGTCGAGCGAACATGGGAATCAGCTGAGCGCACGGTAAGCCAGATTCCGCCTTGTTCTTTTCTTATCCGTGTTATGCGCGCTGTTGGTCGATGTCCGGGGTATATGCATGACACCCGGTGCAGGTATCCAAGTGACACGCCCGCGGGACTGCCACGAGAACCACCTACATGATAGACTAAGATCCAGCCTCATCTAAATCAGGAAATGGTCCTTGGCATTGGTGGGGCTCCCAGGCCCGGGAACCTCTGCTTGAGGTGGCATAAACCCGGGCGTTGCCCGACGCCGTATCAACCGAAACCACATGACCATTGGTTGCCTTGCAATGTGTATTGGATGCATTGGTCGATCTCAATTACCACCCAGTTCAAAGAACTTCTTAGAGCCTCTGTCTTTGAATTCTATATTCCGAATTTGATGCTAACCGCGTTTTCCTAGACTCGTCCCGCCGGTATCGATCTTGATGGCGTTGGGATCGTCGCTATTCTGAACAAAGATACTGGCTCGGAGTTGCTTCTCCAGAAGCAATACCGGCCACCAATTGATGCAGTTGTTATTGAGGTTCCTGCAGGACTCATAGATGCGGGTGAGACGCCTGAGCAATGTGCTGTTCGAGAACTTAGGGAGGAGACTGGTTATGTTGGTGTGGCGGAGCAGACTAGTCCAGTGATGTATAACGGTACGTGAGCGATGGATGCCAGCTTTGTCTTCTTCTAGCAGCGTTATTTGACCTTTTCGGGTGTTGAGAGCTGACAAACATTGTGACTTCATCAGACCCAGGACTTTGCAATACCAACCTGCATATGGTCCACGTCCGGGTCGATATGTCTCTCCCCGAGAACAAGAACCCAAAGCCTGAGCTTGAGGATAATGAATTCATTGAATGCTTTACTGTTCCTTTGAACTCGTTGTTCGACGAGATGAAGAAACTTGAAAAGGAGGGTTATGCTATTGATGCTAGGATTGGAACACTGGCTGAGGGGATTGAACTAGCAAAGAAATGGAGGTTGTGAGCTAGTCATATCTCACTGGCTTGTAGCACAACCATTAATTGATACAAACAAACCTCTATTAAAATACAAATCTACAAGCAAACCTCGCCATATCCCCTTCCCCATCCCCCACACGTACATGTCATTCCCACTCAAAGCAACCCCTCCTGCTTCAACCCCTGATACAAAGCCCAAGCAGCCAAAGTCTTCCCATCCCTAAGCCCCTCCTTCCACAAATCCGCCAAAGGAACAACCTTAAGCGTAATCTTCTCCCCGAACTCTCGTAATCCCGTCAACTTCCCCTGCAACTCCTCAATCTCCTTCCGGGGCATAGACTTCTGACACAAAAACAACGGAATAAACTCATCACTCCCACCAGGAGACGGATAAACAGCATTTTGCAGACGCTCACCGTAGCCAGGTTCCTGCGCAGCCTGCAGCGCCAGCGAGGTCATATCAATCAAATCCCCCTGCTCAACCCGCAACCCCGTCTCCTCTTCGATCTCCTTCGCTGCACCGCCAGCAAACGTCCCGCTGTCATCGAGCATCCCAGCCGGGATCTCCGGGAACGACAGCGAGCCTGCTGGGATGCGGGCCTGGATGGTCAGGATAGCGCGCTTGTCATTTTCACTCGGGGTGGGTATATCATCCGGTTGGAGGATGAGCTATTCATAGAATTAGAAAAAACAACAACACGTTTATGTTTTTGGGTGGTGGGGCTGGGGCGTAATATTTTTCTTTTTTCTTTTTGCCTGGATGTCTATAGCATAAAAAGGGGGGAAACACTCCCATCGAGTAGAATTAAATGGGCGACAACTCACCAACATGCCGACACTGCCACCCCGCAGAAATACGCTACCGGGCAAAGTCTCGCCCTGGCCATTCGATACCTCCGCTTTGAGTTTAATGAAGCCTAGTCGCCCGCCACCGAAGCGGTCGACGGCTTGGATATCGATTTTGCGCAGTACATATGGGTCACTGTGGAACTCGTGTGAGGGGTGTTCTTGTCGCGCGAGGGATTGCTGGAGGGTTGTTATCCAGATTTTGAAGGCTGGGAATGAGAGTAGATCATTCTGGCTTAGGTCTGGGATGCTATTCACTTTGAGGTTTGAATTGGGGATTGTGAATGTTGACATTTTGGTTGTTTGAGCTTTGGCTTTCGTGATGCTGATGATTAGTCTGCGTGTGGGGATGGGCTGTGTTGGTTTTAGGTGTCGCGCGGCAAGGCGGAGGGAGCTCATTAATTCGGTTTTGCTGAGATTTTAGCCCTCAATTTCGATGTTTTACTGGAGACTTCGTTTGTGAATGGTCGCGCACATGTGGATGTCAATTGTTTTCAAATGTTGCTTCGATGACGTCGCTCAGTCTTGGTCTCACCCCTTTTTTCATACCTGCATACACTAAATGTACATATGTACGTTTTACCTACGGAGTAGACATCGCATAGCTAAAGCTCCTTTTGAAGATATAATTAATTTTGCTCTTATGGAACTGCTGTTTCAAATGTGGTACGGATTCCATAGAGCCCATTCATAACTTTGGAGCTATCAGTCCCGGAATTCATATAGTTCTACCTTTTATTAAACAGCAACTAGCCCAGAGCTTCGTCTACTAAGTTGAACAAGTGGTATTCAGGGGGTCAACTCGATCAGTATGCCCCCCAAAGCTGCTATTGGCCATATTTCATCTTCTGCTTGAATACGACAACACATTCCTATCAATATAATCTCGGCCTTTTAGCCCTTTAAGAAGTGATTCAGGGCTTCCATCAGCAATTTAATTGGTCAATACAATAGATTAATCATCAAAATAAACTTTCCCAAGCGATTGCAGCTGCAGCTGCAGCTGCATCTCAATGTCGATGAGCCTGACAATCTCGTACAGGACTTACTATGTAACGCACAAAGATTTATGATCTGTCTCGATAGTAAATGGAGTCATCTCTACGGAGGTAGACAACAGCCTATATACTGTGCCAGTCTTTCATTTCTGCGAGGTTCCATATTTCATGTGCACATAAATATCTCGGGTTTAGATGTGGGGTGACAACAAGCATGTCACACGAACTCCGTTGGGCTCTCTTAAAAAGAAACCTTCAAATGGTTGAAAATTATTTCAGCCGACGGAGCACCGAATACTTGTGAATAGCGGTCAACGATGTCCACAACTATAGCTGCCTGGAGTTAATCCGCTGATAGGACCATAGGACCGACTATTTGTTTTCAGCCAGTTCCTCAATCTCAAAATCAGACATGTGCTGATATGTCGTCTGCCTTGAATTGCTCATGTTTAAGAAAAGCGAAGCAACTAGAAATGACTGAAGTTGGTATAGCGTGACCCCGGGCAGGTAGCCTAGTCTCACTAAATCCTGTCAATAGTTACATCCGTTTGCCTTATACTCCAAAGGTAGTATCCACCATTCTCAAAACAAAGTAACCTCTGAGATCATATGAAGGTAAACGAGACCGAGAGCCAAGACCATTAGAATCATTGCTAGACCAAATACGGAGTACGGAGTAAACAGATGCACGATAAAAGCTCACCAATCGTATGATACTTTCCAAGGTTGTAGCCGGGCACACACCCCTTTTCCATGCAGTCTAAGAAGATCCTAGATCCATGAACTCTAGAAGTCATGTAGAATCCCACCCGCGTAGGATTTCACCCGGGTAAAATCTGCAGCCTATCTTCCCCGCTTCGGCAACACGCTAGAGCTCGACTACACATATTCCATGCAAGCTTATTACACTAACATATTAAAAGTCAGCGGAAATCAACTAGCTACATACATAGCAGACTGCATATTCTATACTGCCAGGGGATTTCTCATCAAGGGTGGCTGGACCAACAAACAAAGCTTTACCCGGGTGATGGCAAAGTAGTGCGCCCACTTTGGTCGCACCTGCTCCCTTCCGTATGGCTTGCAATATCACATCATCACTCCCTTGCAGCGGCTCCAGTTTAAGTTGATTCCCGGGAAGGGGAGGTACAATTGACGGGCTAGATCCCTTTGTTCGGAGTCAAGTGGAGCGTATCAGTTGCCTCGCTGTAAAATGCGAACCGGGTCGGTATTGGGTGGCACAGCGTTGGACAACACTTTGTTTTGTTATATTGGAATATATGTATCTTATTGGATATTCAATAGAACTGAAACTGACTATATCCTGGGAGTACATACTGTTTTATTTTTATACTGGGCCGCTTAAAACGCGCTCCAATTATTACGGGCGCTTACGCGATCGGCTTAGGCAGCCCTGCCTAAGATTTCTGACAGGAGAGAGTTATGAGGACAGGCGTCATCCCGCCAAGCCACTTGTTTTAGTTTTTATGGATTCGAGGTACAGATTTGGGGAGTTTATACGACAAGGTGGCGGATGTTTAGTACTTCAATTGTAGCCTATATTTTGACTGGGGTTGTCCACATTCGTGTTAGGCTCACCACATATTAACTAGTGCACGTTGGATATGAGTGGTAAAGCTATTCTAAGTTTAGAACTATGTATTACTCTGTATAGATAGAGAGATGGCGAAATGGCGAATATTAGGTAGCAGTATAACCCCTGGCCATAGCTCGAGTCATCACCTAGGCATTTTGACAATTCAACAAGGCCATGTGGTCTAACACTCGTGGATATCCCGTTGGCAATCGTACATCGACCCATTTTCAAGTCTGTTGCATGATTACCCGTCACCGGACATTCAAGGAACCCCGTCCACTGGTGATTTAATACCAAGGCGGCTAATAGTGGTGTGCGCACAATATAGTGCCTCCCCCCCAACCCCCAATAAATTTCCAATCAAACCTTGGAAGATCACCTATGTATGGACCAAAAATTGCCTCGTTCCAGGGTGATCCGAAGAGGAAAAGCGCAATCTTCACTTCGTAGTCAATGCTCAATGCGAATGCCAAATCGCCCAATATCACCCGGGGTCATCCCAGTCCCCAGGCGGGCCAACTGAGAGCAAAACAAACGCTCTTTGGCCAAAAACGCCATAGTCCATGCTGAAGCTTGGTGGAAAAAAGCCTGGTTGACTAAATTCGGTGGTAGTAGCCAAAGAGCGGTGACGGAGCAAACAATACCCTAACGCTGCAAGGGCAAGCGAGGGAAAACTCCTTTGCCTAAAGCCCTCCCAAATCATAAGACGATGTCATATCTGGATCGTATTGGGAGACAATCGGGAGGCTATTGGGCAATGCCAGGGTAGACTTGAACTCTACAACCGTTGGGCGAGGCTGTCAAATAATCGAGGGATCAGCTGTTTCAAATAAGACCCATTTCTTAGATCTCTTGCAGATCTCGATGATATTTTGGCGAGTCCTGCATAGGAAAAAGTGAGGCGGAAGATACATGTATAGATCTGGGGTGCTCAGGGCGGCTATTACCTGTCTCCCTTAACAGGCGCGGTTAAGGAAAATGACTTGGCACCAGGGGGTGGGAGGCTATGGAATCCTTCAAGAAGATGTTCGAACGTTCCAATATGGCACAGTTGCATGAAAATCGGAGAAAAGGGGGCCAGAGAAGCAATAGAAATAAAACAGGCAACCAGTAGTTCGTATGGTAAATACAATACCAACACTCGGCAGAATGAAGCGCAGGATGATCGGCATGAGCCCCCCCAGGGCCAGCCAGACACCCAGGTTGCCCACCGGATGCCTGTTCTACGCGACTTCTACCTTGTCAATTTAATATCATTTAAAGGTTTCCTTCTTCTATAACCTCGCCCGATCTCCATGACAACATGTGAAATTTGAACATCTCTCTTTTTCTTACTGGGTGCGTTGGCCACTCCGAAGCCCCAAACGAGAAACTAATTCTCCCTAGATGGTTGAAATGGGCGACAAGTCACTGTGCCGTAAGGAGGCAAGACCGACCAGGCGCAATTTTTACAGCCTGTTAGATGCCAAGACAAGACTCTCAGACAGAGTTGTTCATAGCGACGTGTCACCTAGGCATGTTGTGAACCCCCAAGCTCTTGTTGCTTACACATCTTTTAATTGTTCATACAGGCGATCTATGAAAAGACTATTGTCAGAAGAACTCATCTCTGAATCGATGGGTACCCACGGCTACTACTCGGCCACCTCACCGATATCTAGTGCTCGACCAAGGTCTACTGGCGTCCTAGCAGACGATTGCACTATGGAAACACTCAGTAGTCACGGCATGCGAGCTCTGAGAAGCCCCGCTTGCACCAGTGTAGGCCATGTCGGCAAATCTCGTCGCGGGGACGTCTTCCGAGTCTCCAGGGCGCCTCGGCAGTTGTCGGGATCGGCTTCTCAGCAGCTAAAACCCGGCCTGCCTCAATGTATAGATGAAAGCCCCGCAGATCCGAAAATTGAGATCAATGCGCCCAGGCAGGAAGAAGAGCCGCAATTAGCTCAAGGGTTTGCGACACGTCCAGAATTGCAAAGATCACATTCAACACCCATTGCTGTGCACAGTCAGAATGCTGGTGGAATTCAGAATGTTTCTCACGCCACAAAAAAGCAAGAGCAAGTGCAGGCATCATGGCACACGAGAAATGATGAAATAATAAATCAAAATGTGAATATGGTGGGTGGAGGGGCAGACACCCAGGAAGAAAAGCCTCATGAAATGTTTAGGCAACCGGACACGCACGCCATTACCGAGGAGCAACTGATCAATGAAGTGCGGGGAATCTATACCGGACTTGTTATGGTGGAAAAGAAGTGCATCGAAATCGACAGACAACAAGCACAATCAAAAGCCGAGCTATCACAGGCTCAGTGGCAGACACTCGTCTCCCTACACCGAACACTACTCTATGAACATCATGACTTTTTTCTCGCCTCTCAACATCCGTCAGCTGGTCCTGTTCTTAAGGATTTAGCTGATAAGTATGCGATGCCGGCGCGCATGTGGCGGTATGGAGTGCATTCATTTTTGGAGCTATTACGTCAGAAGCTCCCCGGCTCGATGGAGTATATGCTTGACTTTATCTACCTCTCGTACTCGATGATAACATTGCTACTGGAAAGCGTGTCAGGTTTCAAAGAGACTTGGATCGAGTGCCTAGGTGATTTAGCACGGTACCGAATGGCCGTGGAGGAATTCGATAAGAAGGACCGCGAACTCTGGGCAGGGGTGTCGAGGTATTGGTATAACCTGGACGCAGATCGAAGCCCGGAAAATGGCCGTATTCAGCATCATCTTGCTGTTTTAGCGCGCCCGGACGTTCTTCAGCAGTTTTTTCACTACACGAAAGCATTGATCAGCGTGCGCGCATTCCCAAATGCTCTCGATAGCATGACCCAGCTAATCGCTCCTCTTATGAATATGCCGGCAAAGGGAAGTTTAGTTACCTCGTTCGTGACTACTCACGGTGCGCTTTTCATGCAAGCTCCGGTTGAGGAGTTTGTTTCTCGGGCGAATGTGTTTCTTGATACTCTCCGTAAAGAAATTAGCCGGGTAGGCCGACATGGGCAGGAAGGTGTCCAACTCACATCTTGCAATATCTGTGCAATATTTCAATATGGGAGTAAACATGGGGTGATGGAAACGGATTTCAGATTGAAGTCACGCAGTCCTACGGCAGAAGATCGCCTAGCGGCAATGAAGTGGGCATCTAGTGCATCTAGTACATCTGGTGTATTTGGTGCATCTGGTGCATCTGGGGCACCTGGGGAATCTGGGGCATTGAGTGCACCCATCCATGCCACATACAGCGATCTCTCGTCCCAGCTTGCATTCCGGGCGAGCTCTCTCGCGTTTCACACATTAATCGTCATGCTCAGTCAACTCGGCGATCCGAACATGTACCCGAGTGTACATATCTCTATGGCATTTGTGTGGTGTCTCACACTTAACCCAGCTGCCATACAACGACTGGAACCGCTGATTCCGTGGTCGTTACTTGCAAATTATCTGAACACTTTGTTCCGTCCCGACACGATCATTTCGAAGATCGAAGACGAATCATTCCCGCTTCTCAACGAATCAACTACACAACAGCTACCGGAGGACTTTTTGATCAGAGGACAGGCATGGAGCCGGCTTTATTACCCAGAAGGATTCTTCGAGGGGGCTCCTACAGAAGACAACAGACCATCAACAGAAGAACATTCGACAGTGATTCCTAGAATGCATCGATGTCTTTGGCTTGGAGTGCGGATTGCAACTGTCTGTTTGCCCTATTCGTATTAGCACATTGAAACTGACCATATATCTCATACTAGTTCACCCGCTGGATGACATACGATCAGACGCGACGGTTCACACCCACTCGATTAGCAGATGAATTTGCGCCAATGGCAGAATCCCCTGCTTACCTGTATGGCAGTCCTTACTCACTAGGAAATGAGATATCACCTTCCTCCGATCACGAGATGCAGGAGGTTTGAAAATGCGGTTGGGTGACTGCTGGCTCTGCTGCGGGTTCCATTATGGCGTAGGCTGCGCTGCTCGTCTTGACGGGGAACATTTCGGGGCTGGTGGAACCCTAGGGATTTCTTTTTTTTTTCTTGTTCAAATCCGTGCTCAAGCCTTCTTGTGCGCGAGTCATTCCTTGAGGCCCTTTCCGTACACGAAGACAGAAAGTGGATCCTTTTCTTTCGTTATTACCAGACAGGAAATTTATGAGTCTCCAGGACTACACGACAGATATCAGATCTCAGATTATTCTCTGGACCCACCCTGGAAGGCCTGCCTCCACCTGGACCACTCCCCAAGGACTGGACCGTTTGGCGTCTCCAAGGATTATCGCATCTATTGCCATGGATATATGGGAACTTAGCCTGTCCCGGGATGCTCTCACTTCTGTCCGTCCTGTTCCATGATGACCGGGAGCTTTCGCAGGCCTTTCTAATCGGTTTCCAGGCATTGGGCGGTGCTATTCCACCGTGGTTGAATTTGTCTTGTTGGAAGCCAAGACTCCTGCTTCAATCGCTTTCTGGACTTGGATCATTGTGTGCCCCTTCTATCCAGAAGGGACACCTTCAGAGCTACTAGAAAGAAGTCATCATTGGCTTCGCGATGCGTTGTTTTACTTGCTAGTTGAACGAAGAATTGTTGCGAGAATACCGAGGGGACGCAAGACAAGGGAGGCAAAGCGGTAGAAAGGAGGAGAAATGAGACGATAAGAGAAGGAAAGTATTTGAGTGAAAATATGGAAAATTTTAGTGTCAGTCACCTTCCTATTTGGGAAGTGTTCGCATATAGTATATACTCCCCCTTGTCCTTCTCCCCAACTTCCAAGGCTTTTTTCTTCCTTAACCCCACGTCCATTACTTACATACCTTTCTGTAGCCCATTTTGTGGATTATGGATAGCAGCATGGCCAACAAAGAGTGTTCAGCACCATGGTTCTGCTGTCTCTGAGCCAATATCTTTTGCTATCTTTTGCTAGAGGCGCTCCTCTAGCTTTGCCCATTGAAGATAATTATGAGGGCGCATATTTGTGGATAAGGCAAGAATCAGCTCTTGTATGCGACAATGTCTATTCCCGGAGGTGGGCGATCTATGCGATCCGGGGTAAACGCGTATAGACAGGATACGCGTATAGACAGGTCAACGAGCTACAATATACGTGAATTGGAACAGAATACAGAAAATATAATATAATGTGACTTATAATTTAGTTAAATATAGTATAATATAGTGTCTACGAACCGTGGCTCCTAGATGTGGATCTGTTCCATATCGGCTTGCGTGTTGCCGATAAAAGGCCAAGCTGGCGATTATCAACTTGCAACATTCCTCCGCCCTCTCTTCTGACACACACTCTCCCTTCAAGTGGCGAGGATCATTCTGCCTTACCTCTATGAATAAACACTTTCTCTCTCGGACCTAAGTGCTTGCCTTCTCCCTTCGACATCACTCACTCTCCCCATTCCGCATCTCTTCCGTCTCCGCATCTGACGTCCAGCTCGTCACTCTCCACCATGGCGGCAGCTTGGGGCGAGGTCTGTCGCCAATGCGTCAATACTGCGGTGGAAATCCCAGGCCAGATTTTACTCATTGCTGCCCTAGCCACTTTGCTTGGGCTATTTGTCCTGGTGAGTCCACGTTTCCCCCGCTCCGCTTGTACCGGCCAATCGCGCGGTGGCACTCCAAACACGTGCAACCCCAATTGCAAGTTACTGACCTGTCAATGCTTCTTGCGATTATATAGTTCTCATTATTTATATTTTTCGTTGCGCCAGTTCCACGAGAACCTCTACCAGAAGAAAAGAAGTATAGAACCCTCGCCAAAGATGGATCCGTCACAGACCCCGAACCTTTATCCTGTTGGCTCGAAAGCCCAGATACCAAAAAGAGCACCAACAAAACCACCACAACCCACACAATCGCACCAGCCGAGCTGTTCATGTCCGTCGTAGTACCAGCATACAACGAGGAAGACCGGTTAACCGGCATGCTGGAAGAAGCCGTCAACTACCTGGAGCACATGTACGGGGATACAGCCAGTGTAACCGCCAGGTCCAGCAGCCCAGGCACAATGGAGACGCGCTCAATGCGCAAGCGCAAGCCGAACGGGGATACCACCAGCGACGCGGCAGGCTCGGCCTCAGACCGCGGCTGGGAGATCATCCTCGTCTCGGACGGGTCGACAGACCGCACGGAGGAAGTCGCATTCCAGTTCGCGCGCGACCACCAGCTCTCTCTGCACCCCAAGGGACACGCGGGTCCGTGGACACCGCAGGCTGCGGAGGGTGTCCATATCCCGCCTGGCACGATCCGCGTCGTGAACTTGACTCATAACCGTGGCAAGGGTGGCGCGGTCACGCACGGTATGCGCCATGTCCGTGGGCAGTATGTTGTCTTTGCGGATGCGGACGGGGCGAGCAAGTTCGATGATCTGGGTAAGCTTGTTGGGGCTTGTCGGGATGTGGAGGATGCGAAGGGGCGGGCGGTTGCCGTTGGGTCGCGGGCGCATATGGTTGGTAGTGAGGCTGTGGTTAAGGTATGATATCTGATATCTGGGTGATGAGATGTTTGCGAGGTTGATTACTGACTTTGCTTGATAGCGATCCAAGCTTCGAAACTTCATGATGCATTCGTTCCATTTGATTTTGCGGCTCATGACACCCCCTAAAACGGCTACTGTCAAGGATACGCAGTGCGGGTTCAAGCTGTTCTCCCGCAATGCGCTGCCTTATATTGTGCCTTACATGCATTCCGAGGGCTGGATCTTCGATGTTGAGATGCTCATGCTGGCTGAGTTCGCTCGGATCCCTGTGGCTGAGGTGCCTGTGGGATGGAGGGAGGTTAAGGGTAGCAAATTGAATGTCTTGCGAGATAGTATCGGCATGGCTTGGGGTCTAGCTGTTCTGCGGGCAGCTTGGTCGCTGGGTGTATATAGACAGCGATGATCAGGGTTGGAACTTGATTGTTCCTGGTATTTTCGAACAGTTTTCCATCGCGAATATATTGCATCTTGAATTTTTGGAGACTTGGCTTTTTTACTTGGCCGGAGTGGATGATTCAATCGGCTTCTGATATAGTTCTTGGGTTGATATGCTGCCCAAAGCAGCTCAACATCACTATGTATTGGATGAAAGATACATATATAGCTTAGTTGTTTCACTCAAACGAATATAATTATTCCACTATAGAATGTCAATTGCATCACCCCTTCTTATACCTGACATACAGCCTGCATCTTACAGATATGCGTCCATGTCACGTTTTGGTGTCTACATGTTGCTCAAGAGGGACTTGAGACCTAGATTAAATATATTGCACGTACGTTGGGAAAGTCCTCGACGTTGCTTGGCATTACTATTTCTTCTTGGCCTCATGTGCAATACCGCCAGTCGCAGTTGTAAACCGAAAAAAAGGGTAAAGAAAAACCAGGCGACTTTTCCATAGATCAGATCCACTAATACGTGGGTCACCAAGCCCTGGAGGACAATCATACCATTGAACCAAGGTTATCGTATAAAAACTTGTAAACCTTACATCCATGGTTCGGGAATCTAGGAACGAGTAATTAGAGACTGATTCAAAGTTGTACTTTGAAAAATTTGCCGAACTTTTGTGACATGCGGTGAAGTATATGCGGTGGCTGCAATATCTCTAAGTTTAGATGCTGATCAGATACTCGGCACTTCACATAAATGGGTCGACATGGTCTGATGCTCTGCATTTGCGTTATGCAAGGTCATCTACGGAACACAGAGTACAGACCTCTATTTTTGTTCAGCATTGACTTTTTCTGACGGATCGAAATTTTCTGACGGTGGCGACACATCTATAGTACCGAGTGGTACCACTGCCTTTTAAACGGAATTAACAGCCGCATTTCGCAAGCTCGACATTTCATCGCGTCTTGTTCTTTCGTCTGGCGAAGCAGATATGATGCCAAATCTCACTCACACGTCGATATCACCATCGCGGCTCCTCCAACTCCCAGCCGAACTCCGTCTCAAGATCTACGAATATGCACTAAACGTACCAAACGAGTATCTAGTCAGCAAACCGATGATCGTACTAGGCGATCATGGCAAAACATTCACAGCCCGCGGCCAATACCGCGCATTATCAATGAGTCCTCACTGGGTTGGCGAAGACGGCACCGCACGCAAGTTACTAGCGGTGAACCGCCAACTCCACGACGAAGCCGAAGACTACCTCTACTCAACGCACACCCTCTTCCTCCGCAACTCCTTCAATCTCGACCGACTAGCTGACTTCCTCGACACGCTCAGCGCAACCGCCCGCGCCCGCATCCGCAGCGTCGGCTTCGAGGTCTTCTTCTTCGTGCACACGCAGACCGGCGTGCCGAAGCGCACGCTGAAACAATACGAGGCCGCAGCCCGGCTTCTGTCCGAGAAACTTCCGCGCTGGAATAGTGTGCTGCTTTACCTCGATCCACGCTACTATTATCCATCTGCGAACGTGGGTGGTCGGGATCTCACGGCCCGAGGGGTGTTTGATCTTGCAACGCGCTTCGGCGCTTTGTGTAAGGATGTGAGCTTCTATCCGCTGCCGAATGGTGATCACCATCTGCTTGATGAGGCTCAGCAGTTTGTTTGGCGGAGTCGTTCGCCGTTGAGACAGTCCGATGGTCGTCGGTCTATTAAGGGGTGTTCGGCTTGGTCTTTGGATTTTAAGAAGAAATCGGTTGCGCCAAGCCGACTCCGGCCCATCTCGTCTGTTTGCTGAGGGATTTCCCTTGATTGTTTTGGTGTTATGTTTTCTATATCCTTTTGTTTTTGTTTTGACATCTTTTAGCATTGCGGACTTTGACCTCTTCGGGTGTTTTGGCTAGCCCTGCTAGCTCTGCGTCATGACGTCTGACCGCAGATTATACTGGTCAACTGCATGTTAAAGGTCAAATGTGGCACATCTTTGGCGCAAATGGCGTAGGGAGTTTGGGCTGCCTTTTTTACTTTCTCCGTTCTTATTTATTCCACTAATTCCAGTACAGGGATGAATTATAGACAGACATTTACGGATATATATTGTGCTTGTTGCTTGCTCGATTTACAGTTGGTTATATATTTTACTTACACACACACATAGATGGACTATAATATACCCTCTAAATAATATATAACAGATCTTGCAGATGATACGTACATCATCTTATTAATGATATTTCCTATTAGAGCTCGTTTGACGTCATAAGCTGTGATTAGATACGCTCACAGAATTTCTCTGGTTTTTCTTTTCCATTTCCCCGGAATTTGCGGGGATGTTCATGATCTAGTATAATAATCATCTTTCTTCCTTCTCTCCTCTTTTTCACTCTTTCTGGGAACTTCGTACCTGAAAGCTACCCAAATCCTAAACCTACCCAACCAGCATTCATCTAACGCGTGACCCGAGGCTTGACATGTGCCGTATCGGGAACGTCGCATGAAATTCCGTTAGATGACCAAGTGCTGTGAGCTCATTGACCGCTTCTAGGAACTCCACTGTCTCGACGTGGAAAGCCAAAGCTTTGCAGGTTGGGCACTATCGTGATTATCGTGCTATCGTCCACGTTACTATCGTGTCTACCTAGGTATCCTTAATAGATCCTTATCTGCCAATTTGCGCTCATTATCGTGAAAAACAAACCTCAGACACCATGAAGCCTGCGAAATTACTAGACGGCCACGGAAGTCTCTACAAAGAAGTACGCTTCTCTCCGACCCAAACACCCATCCGTCGCACAAAATCCGTTTCAGCCACATTTCCTCCTGTCATCTCAGGCTACGGCCGAACCGCATTCCAAGACACAGCATTGGCGAATTCGTTCGCCATGGATACTTCCTATATCGACCAATCGCGAGCGCTTCTTCAGAGTCAACGGGTGAACTTCGAGACGGAGAGGGAATTGTTTGCGCAGGAGCGACAGTTGTGGGAGAAAGAGCGGGCGCTATTACGATCGAAAATTGCCGAGCTGGAGGTGTTTGTGCGAAGCCAAGGGAGCAGAACAAATCAATTAGGATCGGAAGCGGCCAAACTTGTGCTTGCAGGTGGAATATCGCAGTATAGCACAAATGGCTTCGCAGCTCAAGTGTGGGAGGGGACAAGTCCAGGCAATCGGCCAACGAGGGTGTTCTTCGATCATGAATCTCCAGACCAAAGCTATCTATCGACAATATCCGAAAGTGGGAATCAGCCCTCCCTTGATCGGGCCCTTTCGCCCCAGTCGCGACCAGTAGACCCCTCTGGAGCGCCTGTGAGTCAGCCAGTGCCGATTGAAAAGCTTGACAGCACCCTGGATGGTATCACGCTCAAGTCCACGGCGCTACCACCTTCCGTGGTGGCTCGAGTGATCACCCCGCCCTCCCCGTCGTCCCTGGTGACCCCCCCTGGAACCGCCCCTTCAACCGCTGCAAGGCCTCAAATGGAACATCGAAACAGTCTCAAACTGAAGCTGTCAGAGCTCGGCCCGCCCAATGAGAATTTGCACCGCCATGCAGGTCACACCCCGATGGCGATCATCGACCCTGAAAGTCAATGGACCACCCAGGAGGGGACTCCCCTCGAGGTTGCCTCCCAGAGTGAGGAGGCCCCTCTCGCGCCCGTGGCAACGAACGTTCATCAACCCTCTGAAAATAAGATCTCCTACTTTCCGGATGTGCCAGACGACCCCGCTCTCAAGGGGCCCCTCGGTCTGATTAATGATGAGGAGCATGACTCTAATTTTTTGAATGAACTGGATCAGAAACTCCTTATCCAAGCGAAAAATATTATAGGCAGTTCGGTTGAATCGGCTGATCCCAATGAGTCTGGTTCTGAGTCTGAGTTCCCTCGCCAAGACGAAAAAGAACCTGAAATCAAGTTCAAGAAATCGACTAATTTTGGCACTGCATTTGGAATATCGAACTCGGGTTAAGTCGAAGGAAACATATATTTCCCATCTATGCTTGGATCTTGTGGTCTGTGTGAGATATTATTATTATGTCTATTATGGATATCTTCGAGGGTTTTCTTTTCTTCTTTTCATGGAGCAGCATATGCTTTCGATGCTGTAACTTTTTTTTATATCTTCTTTCTCACTTCTGGCGAAATACTTTACGAGATTATGATCTATGGTGATATGTGCAATACAACTTCATTTGTTTCAATTGTTTCAGATTTCTTTCCGGTCAGTCTTCGTTTCTGGGGTTACTTGCTTGACATGAAAACAGCCCTAGCAAGTTGCATTTGGACTCACCTGTGTTGGAGTTCCTTGCGTGTGATGCATATGCACTCAATCTTAATCCAATGTCCTGGTTGGTTATTTCGAAAGTCTCCTGTAGTTAGTGTCTCTGTGCCTTATTGGCTACTATCCCTTGCATCCATACAACCTTTTCTCCCCATTCGGCCACACGTGTTTTACTGTTCTCCAAAGCACTCCATCTGCATCCCATACAGTGAAAATCCCGCCAATCCTGTCCTAGCCGAGCTACGACAGTCGAAGGCTCGGGGTAGGGCTCGTGCATAAGCTTTACGCTGCTCGCTCAGGGCACATCTGGTCTCTCGACAGAGCTGCAGCTCCTTACTATCGAACCATGTTGCTCGTATGCCCTAATTTCCACCAATTACTTGGTTTCAGACTCCCTAAGACCTGATGTCTCTCATGATTTCCTTTTTCGGCAGCTACCGTTGACTTTGTGCCTTGCAGATCTCTGCCCTTGTGGCTTTTTTTAGATGAGTGCCACCAAGGACTAGTTCGTGCCTTGCAGAAATCTCCTTATCTGGTCCTATCTCGTCCTGGATAGAGCCCTTGACTCTCCCGACCATACTGTTCAAGTGTATACTTTGCATGGGCGCCGAAAAGTACATAAGGATCATTGTTCACGCCTCATTTTCTCTTCTTCATCCAGCATCACAGTCTCTAAACAGTCATTCGCTATTCTCTCTCTTTCCAAACTCTCTTTCAATAACTCTATCATCTTAACATTTTCAATCTTTGGATTATTTTAATCAACAACCTCCTCAATCTTCCTCTTTTTCAAACCAACAACTCAAACAACCCTACCGCAACAATGGTCTCCACTACTATCAACTTCTCCGGCCTGATGTGCCTCGTCCTTGCTCTCGGCCCTGCCACCGTCCTCTCCGCTCCCCAGATGCCCGCTGTCCCATTCCCTGAGATCATCAACCACGGCCCCGAGACCACCAACCAGGGCCCAGGCAACAGCGAGACCTCCGCCGGCAGCGGCGTCAAAGTCGGCATCCCCGGCGGTCCCTATGTGAACGTCGGCGCCGGATTCCACGACGTCCACCGCGGCCCCTGCGGCCCTGGCGCAGGCGATGACCACACCGCCGGCGCCGGTGTCGACGTCGGTATCCCTGGCGGCCCTTCAGTCAACGTCGGAAATGGGGAGCACAGCCACCAGGACGGCTACCCTTGCCCTGAGCCTCCTGCCGTTGTCATCGTGCCTACTACCACTGCCAACCCTCCTGCCGTTGTTGTTGTGTCCACTCCCACCACTACCAACCCTCCCACTGAGATTATTACTCCGACTATTGAGACTGCCCACCCTCCTACTTGGACTGGCGCCCCCGCCATCCTCCCTCCCACCTTCACTACCCCCATCTACGCCCCCCTCACCACCGCCCCCGCCTCATGGGCGCCCTCCGCCTCCATCCCTCTGATCCACCCCGCCGTGCCCACCGCATCGGCTTCGCCTTCTGCCGCGCCTTCTGTCCCCGTTATGCCCGTCTTCAACGCCGGCTCGTCCCTGATTCCTGGATCCGTTCTCGCAGTGGCTCTGCCCATTATCCTGGCTTTCTTCAACTAAGTCCCTGCTTGACCTTCTATTTACCAACACGATAAAAAATGGCGAAAACGACCCGGATAGACCATCCACCTGTCACCGACGTGGTTGGTCTATCTAATGATTGATCGGACCTGTGTATCTCTACTTACATTCTTCCTTGTTTACTTTTTCTTTATAATTTGTTCTCATCGGCTGGTGTACTCACCCACAGATTACCTGTATCTTCTGTGCTCATCCATCAGGGCCGATCTTTATTACTTACTCTTTGCTTGCCTCTTGTCTACTACTGCAGATTGTTGTCCATTATGTTCACTTTGGGCGTCCGCGCGTGCTTTGCACTATTCGGAGTTCTTATGTGGTTTATTGTTATTTGTTCCTTGTGGTTTTTGATGTTGTTACTATCAGTTAGAATATATTACTCTGATATATTACCCATTCTTCACATACTAGTAGATTTAGTAGTGTCCAGTTCGCCATGCGAATATCAATATCTCTACTGGGGAGATCATAGTTATCCATCCTTATAACTCGAGGTAACTATGTTGAAACCTTTCGTACATAGAGTTTCTTTCATACTTGCGGGGGTAAGTGTGTGATCATCCATGACAACTACGCTTCCTAAAAGAAGCAGATAGAAGCGGGATGGAATCATCATAGTTATATACATGTTGCAGGGGAGAAAACATGAAGCATTGAATCCCCCTGGATGACTTCTCCTTAGCAAGAATTAGTCTCTGTATGAAGAATACCATACGTTCTGCCTTCCACTACTGTTCAACCTGCCTGACCAACAGGAACTGGCCTGGCAACTAGTAATCTTTACAATTCTTGTTGGTCAGGCGAGTGGAAAACAGTGGTAGAGAGGAGAATGTATGGTATTCTTCATACAGAGACTAATTCTTGCTAAGGGGAAGTTCTTCAGGAGGCTCAATTCGTCGAGGCCTCTCCCCTGAGTCGTATGTGTAACGATGACGGCGCTGATTTTATCCAGCTTCCATGCACTTCTTTCAACAAGGGTGGTTGTCATACCCCTGCAAGCCTGGCAACTAGTGTTATTTACGACGTTCCGCCCGGGAGATTTGATAGCATTGTCTACAAAACACCTCAGATTGAAAACGCTTCCCAAGAAGCTATCTCCGAAATTCATTGGACCATTCCGAGTACTCGATACTATCGGAAAACAGGCGTAAAGCCTTCTCCTCCCAAACGAATATTCATTGATTCATAATATGTTCCTTATCTCCTTACTACAACCGTCCATGAATGGCACCAAATAGAATAAGGCGTCATTGATCACCTGCCAATACCGAAATTAGAGGATAACGATGAATGGGAAGTTGAACAAGTCAAAGGAGATAAAAAACTTGATAGAGAACAACACTATCTGGTGAGATGGACAGGCTGGCCCTCGGAATACAACTAATGGGTTCCCAAAGAGGCTATGATTCATACTCAGGAAGCCATCAGTACTCGGAAAGGTCCAATGAATTTCGGAGATAGCTTCTTGGAAAGCGGATTCAATATGAGGTGTTTTGTAGACAATGTTATCAAATCTCCTAAGCGGAACATCATCGGTTCGTGACGCTTGTTATAGTGCTTCGCTACTAGTGTTCCTCGAGCTTCTTCCTAGGGTTTCTTTACTTTTTTAAGGCGTGTAAATGCCGCTAGGACCAAAACCATCGCCCTGATCGTACCACGTTGCGGTATCAGAATGTCCACTGGAACGATGGAGAATGAGGGCGCCGATGAGCCATGTATTTTCATCAACCTGCTTGATGGACTCCCTGACGGAGTCTTCCATTGTAAGCTACTTTCAAAAGAAAGAAACCGATGACCGTGATTAGGGTTTTATGTATTCCTTGCTGGTTTGATCTCAAGATTTTAAAGAAAGAGTCGAAATATGAGAGTTGGGAATGATGAGGACAGGAGCTGGGGGGACTTGCAGCTAAATCACAACCCAACTTTTCTGCAAAGCCACATTGTGCAGCCTGAGAAATCATACATCGTGCACATCAACTTTTTGTTCATTGGGTATCCTCAAGGGCTGTTGGCTTTATTATTAACGGCCTTGTGTATCCGGAGACATAACTATTCTTACATTCATATCTCGTCGATTGGGCGCTGCAAAGTACGTCGCTCAACTGTCAACGTCAACACAGTGAACTCGGCGATCCTCCAGGGTCTTTCCTACTTCGGGAACGCTAGGGGCTATGTTATGTTCTCGCGATGCGACATGTCTACTCTGGAATCTTCACAGATCGTAGTAAATTTGCTATGGGAAACTTCCCAAAGCCACCGGAAGATAATACACAGCAAAAGCAACCTAGGAAGGGGGAAGGGAGATTATCCGAGCGCCCAGAAGCAGATTAACGCCAAACTCATGTCATGTCATGCATATCACATTTCGAAAACCAAGAATAAAGGAGCAGGTCGCCAGACCCCAGCCATTACCCAGTCCAATTGAGCTCAGGATTATAGTTGCCTGGGAAGTAGGGATCGGATAAGACGAGGCTGGATCCAATCCAAAGAAATTATACTCCCATCGTAAAGTCGTGCTCAATGCCCGGCGTCACACTGGCAATGAACTTGAGGAATACAACCAGGTACTGGTCTACCCGGATGGCGACCTGTTCTTCCTCATCGCGTTGCAGCATCTCCCACTCGTCCCCGACAGGTTGTGCGTGGTGGGAGTCCCCGAGCGAGAGATTCTTCGTCTCATCCACCAAGCCCTCCAGCCCGCCGCCTGCCCGCAGAACACGGTTCGCTTCCTCGCGTGAATGCGTCTGCTTGAGCTTGTCGCGGCGGAGCTTGAGTGCGGCGTCGGCACGATCCAAAAGTGTCTTCATCACAGAGGCGTGGCGGCATGGGTGTACACTTGCCATCTTGACGCTGCCCTCGAACCATGGGAAGTCCTCTAGCGTCACGGTCTTGTCTTTGTAGTCGCCGACGATGTCCTCCATCATCAGATGTGGTGGAAGCGGTTCGGATGGCGACAAATAGCCGGACAGGTAGAGGCGGGGTGTACGGTAGAAGTTTGAGTAGGTAATGTAAAGGGTATAAGTGCGGAGAGATCTGGAACGATAACAAGTCAGTCACGGGTTAGAAAATAGGGAAAGGCGAAGTTGAAGACAGAAAAATGGCACTCACGGAGTCCCTGACTGATCATCTGTCTCTCGGATGATGGCTTCCTCGTCATCGTCTTCATCCTCCATATCGGGGATATCATCATCATCCTCCTGCTCGCCCAGATTCCCAGATTCATCGACGGTTCGCACGTCACAAATCCGAGCTTCTTGCTTATTATGGTTTGCCCCAGCGTCGCGGCCACCACCAGTCCGCAACCACCCATCCCCCCCATCGTCGGCTGCCGTGCCTTCGCCGCCATCACCGCCCGAGAGGAAATCCCTCACAATCTCATCTTCCAGCCCTGCATCTCCGGCAAAGTTGTCGTTCAGTCTCCGATGACACGGTACTCCACGAGTAACCAAGAACTGCTTGCCGTCTGGAAGGTAGGATACACGTTTTGCCGGACTTGAGGCGTCGGCCCATGACCAGGTGGGGAACTTGTAGACTAGATAATCTCCGGCGAGGACAAACTCCTCTGGGGTGATTTGGCCGGTGTTGCGGAAGGTTGAAGTGCGTGATACCGGGGCCAGGCGGTCCCGCCAAGTTGACAGCGTAGAGTGTAGGATATTCATTGTGTTTCACAGGTGAGAGTGAAGCAAGAGATACAAAAGAAGCGGCGGGGGAGGGTAAATGATAAGCGGTGGAGCACATGATCCGCCCCGCGTGAGCGTCATTTTGAACTGATATGGTTACACGTGATTCCCCCACCCCCCGGGTCGTACCTAGGTGCTTATGTAAGAACGTTATTTTGTTCCAAGGTTGAGCTGAAATGATACTAGAGAGGTATGTATCTTCTAAAAGGATTTTCAACACTGTCTGAGCAGACAAATATACTGCCTTAACATGCTAACTATATGGGGGAACATACATATGTAGGTTGTTTTTTCTTATCTCGATTTATGTCCTAAGAGCTTTTAACCTGCCAAGTCATAGCCTTCTATTTGGATATCTACATATTTTTAGGCTGAAGAGCTACCTAGGACATGCAATATTATTAACTACCTGGGTAGTAACCTCGTTCTTACTCTGGAAGAATAAAAGCTAAGACATCGGGAACTGTATGAATACACAATTCATACCCGTTTCCAGTGACTTCACCCAGCAAACTATTCTAGCTCAACGTCCTTCTATTCTCTTGAGATTTCTATTTATTTTTAGCTGTATATTGGGCATATAGTTAGAAAGTTCTGTAACATGTATGAAGGACTAGGGTATCTACCATAACAGAGGAGAGCAAACGCCATCTCATACCTGACCTATTCCTGGACTAAGACAAGCAAAATTTTCTATTAGGAACAGTTCTTCAAAGCAAGATTATTGTTCGAGATCCACATTATGACAATATATGGCTGAGATTCTCGGATGTGGTCACAATTGTGGAGGTGTCTGTGGGAAGTGCTTGAAGAAAGGCGAAAATGGCGTGGTGTTGTTTGAGCATCCGAGATGCACAAAGAAATGTGATCGTCCACATGGCGTCTGCAATCACAGATGCCTCAAGGTATGACATAATGGTGAAAGCTGTGGGAATTGTGAAGCGAAATGCGAGTTGAGGTTAGATTTCTTCATCTGTCTTGTCTATTTTTACCGCCTTTGTATACATCTGAGAAGATGTCTAAAAAGTTGTCTAAAAAGTTGTCTAAAAAGACTTTGAGAAAGACTTCGAAAAGACTGTGTCTACCAAAAAGGTTCGATGCTCACACTCGGCCTGTGCCTCCCCCTGCGGAAAGGCATGTGCACCATGTATCGAAAAATGCACTTGGGTTTGCCCTCATCAAGGCTCCTGCACAATGCCCTGCGCAGCACCATGTGATCGATTTCCGTACCATGTGATCAACTTCCGTGTGATGAGCGATGCACCAAAATTCTCGACTGCGGTCATCAGTGCCCGAGCCTTTGCGGAGAGACTGTCCAAGTGGTCTATGTCAAGAACGCGGTGACAAGCCAGATGCTCGTGTCGATTTCCTTGAATGGAAATCTTATTCTGAAATCAACCTCGATAAAAGTCTCATTATTGTGCTCGGGTGCGGCCATTTCTTTACCAGTGAGTCGGTCGATGGTCTAGTCGGCCTGGATGAAGTGTACACAAGGAATGGATCTGGCAAGTTCGATAGCCTTCGGGATGTCTCTGCTGCTCTTGCCAGCAGCATACTATTGTGTTCTGATTGCAAACAGCCCATTCGTCATCAGCAATTTACCTAGCTATCTTGTCAGTTCAGTTCTGGAATAACTTTCATACATCTACTTTGATTGTTACGGCCACGAGAGAAGATATGGTATGTAACATATAGGTTCAGCTGGACAGGCCGCGGAGTTCCCTGGCGATTGCCCAATGCTGTGGAAACAGCTAATCTCCTGGCCGCATGTTCAACCACATTCGCAGAGACGGGGCCGTCTAATGTAATGTTGGGTGTGGTTGCTGGAATTCCTTCTAGACGCGGACCAGGATCTCGCAAGCTTTTTGGTTGTGAGGCCTTCTGTTGATAGGTAGCGTTGCTGCCACCCTGCTGTAGATGATTTAGTAGATAGCTTGATAGCTTCTACCAGAACATCCTGCCCAGTAGACCTTTGATCCTGGAATGATGTCCTCGGCAAAAACAAAGCACATTCATTCACCCTCCTCCATCATTCGCCGTCGCTCAATTTCGGCATCCACTTCATCTACTACCATTGGAATAGCTCTGTTCTTCCACCGACTGACCTCCGCCCGCATAAAGCCTTCTGTACTCTTCATGCCTACGACCAAAAAGCCCAGCTCTTCGCGATCGACATCAAAGACTTCCCACCACTCGCCATCCACGAGCTTGACCTCCTCCTCGCGTGAAGCGAGGTAGATAGCAGCCACAGCCAGGGCATTTGGTTGGTGGGTGACATAAAGAAGCTGGGGTGAGAGCAGCGCAGCATTGAGGTGCTGGATGACCCGTTGAGCCACAGCGGGCTTCGCCACACCTAAAGTTTGAAGATATGTCAAAGCGATAGTGTGTGGTAGAGCGACATGTGTATCAAAGCCGAGAGTACGGAGAATACTCGTTTCAGTGCGGAGGAGGACTAGCCGGGCGGACTGGTAGCCTCCCTCGGAAAGGATATAGGTTTCGGGGGATGGAGGGGTTTCAGGAGCCCCGCTCTGTTTCACAAACCACAAGGGCGATGCATCTTGCGATAGGAGAAATGTGTAGACATTGAGAACGGAGCGTGGGGAGGTCGGTTGGAAGGAAAGCTTAGCTGTCAGGTACAAGGCTGCGGCGGATACATCCTGCTCCGGTTAGTGGATCAGAATGAAGATTTAGAATTCCTGGAGCTGGTCTTACCTTGACTGAGTAGATTCGCAAGCTACCCCCGTCAGCGCCAAGCCAAAAACGCGTGAAGATCACGACAGCCTGGGCAATTATATCTTGCGATAGGTGTAGGAGAACCCCGGCAGTTTGAGTGAGTTGGGCGCCCGCGCAACGAATGGAGGTTTCGAGGTCTGATGGGACATTGTCGATCGAGGATGAAGAGTTCGACAGTTGGTCGGGCGTTGCCAGGACATTGGATAAATGCTTCAGACCGTGGGGAGCCATGACGCTGGGAGTTTGCAGAAAACGTGCAATGACGCAGATCCTCGTGCAGCTGAAACCATGCACAGCGGGAGCGGGAAAAATAGATGATGACGATATCAAACGCGAAAGAAGTCTAGTGGGAGGCAATGCTAATTGCTATAATTAATCAGATTGGAAAGGAAGATGTGGTGGATCATGGGAGGTGGAGAGAGCTCCAGGCCGTTCAGCCACCGCTATTTCATAACCCCAGCCTCTTGTTTTCCTGTCGCCAAATCCTTTTGAGAGTGTTTTTGGTTTCAAATTCTAGAAAATTAAGACTCAACGCTGTGAAACACGAAAAAACTCATTGAAACTCCCTATACCCTTTTTCGTTTAACCTTGAATATACCTCAGGGGTCTGTTTCGTCCTTGATCAGCCTTCATACCTCCCCTACTCCCCCCAGGTTGCACACCAACGCCACATTGGGCCTGAATCGACGTGGCATTTCCATCCTGTCTGTGTATCCTATCGAAATAACCCCTCGGAACATGTCTCCCGATCTCTCTCATGCACCTGTCACCCTGCATTCCGATGGCACGCAACCTCACGAGACCGTTGCCTTGACGCCCCCAAGATCGTCGGTCCTTCGAACCTCACGAAATCACTTTAACAATCCGCCTTCACATCGTCGGGCAAACACTGAATATATTGCAAGGCCCCCGCTCTTTGAACAGGGCATCGACGACACGATATCAGGCCCGAAGAATACCCCCTGGACGGAAACTTTCCCGAAGAAGAAGCTTGAAGCAAGAGCCAGGGTCTTGTCAGATTGGTTCCAGGGGAAATCAGATCCAGTCGAGTTGGGACTGAAAATGGGCCCCAACAGTGCTTCAGATGGGACCGGATTGGATTCCCGCCCAGCTCCAACATCCATGTCACATACGAGGCAGAACTCTACCCCGACGAATCGGTTTTCATTCTTCGGCCTGCGGCGGCAACCGAGCAGACCAAACTTCCCCGAACCAGCAGATGATGAGTTCCTTAACCTGGACATCACTGCCGCTCTCTCACTACCCGAAACGGGCGATACCAATGATGAGACACTGGATGCTCTACGAGATCATGCCGACAAAGTGCTACGACGCATGCAGGAGGCCTATAAGCAGCGCACCTTTGCCATGCACCAGGCATTGGCAGACAAGAATGAAAAGCAGGAGGAGCTTGAGGAGACTCGCGCCAGAGTTGATCACCTCAAGATGCAGCTGGACGGCATGGCCGCCAAGGTGCTTGACCAGGAGAAAGCCATGCAGGCCATGGCCGAGGAACTGGAGCAAGAGAGACAAATGCGAAAGGCCGAGGAATCCCGCAGTCGCAGTGATACGATGCGTCTCGTGCATCCAGATGACGACGTGCCTTCCATGGCGCTCCAAACTCCTCGACGTGGAGGCAAGCGTGCTAGCCACAGCACCTTCACCAGCGACTCGGGCTTTGAGTCCGGTGATGAGAGCGTTGCCGATAGCGTCTTCTCGCAGCGTGAGGGTGTCGAGTCTCCCACCTCCACGCTGACAGCGCCGTCTCCCAACATGTCGCAGATCGCCCTGTCTACGCCGACGGGCCCGATGCCAACACCTTCAATCCAGAAGAACCTGGTCGCGGTCACGACTGCACCGCCACCTGCACGCTCATCAGCATATGATCGGGTGTTGAAGGGTCTTGCTTCAACGCGTCTAGGTAGCTCTTTCGCTGGTGGCAACGGCAACGCGTCTAATTGCAACATATGCTATGGCGTGCCTGCTTCTGAGGCCTGGAGTGTCATGGGTGTTCTGCAAGACGAGAACCGGGGCCTGAAGACACGATTGGGGGAGCTCGAGGTGGTCATTGATGATTGCCTAGGTCTTGTTGGACCTTGACACTTTATTTTTTTTTTTGGCAATATTATACTCTTTATAGAATGCCGGCATATATTTATACGAGCAAAGCAGTTGGAACATTTATTTAGGCATAGATGTCAATATCATTCCCAACAATTACCCCATACGTTGTAGACCCCCCAGCTGTCCCGATCGCGTAGTTAGTACCGTGGCCTCCTGGAGTGTGGGGATAGCTTGGAGCCCGGATTTTTGGGTGTGCACAACACATCGGGTTTGAAAGACTAGCAGAAAAAAAAGGTCTGGAGAATTGAATTGGAGCTCATATTTGTGCAATTATCTGCAAATATCCCGTTCTTTTTTGGTTGAGTCACCAAGTTGGTTGTTGCGGCGAAGACCAAGTGGCCTTAATTAGCGCGGAAGCGAAAAGTGGCCAGCGAACCTCTTCTGTCTTCTTCTTCCCTCCTCCCCCCATCTTCCCGACAACTTCACCTTTCTCCTTTTGTTTTATTTCTCTTAATATTTCACTTCCATTCCTTTAGCTGGTTCTCGACTCCAGCTTTTTTTACTTTTTTAACGGACTGGGAGGAAGATAGCCACCATGAGCGGCCGTGAGTCCCCCGAACCCTCGTCGCGCACGCAATCGCGACAATCCGTCTCGAATCACCCTCAATTGATCCTCAAATGCTGATGGAGGAATATAGTACGCTTCCTTGACTTGATCAAGCCCTTTACGCCCCTCCTCCCGGAGGTGGCAGCTCCTGAGACCAAGGTGCCCTTCAACCAGAAGTTGATGTGGACTGGTGTATGTCGCCCTGAATCCACTCTTTCCGCGCAAAGTCGACTTGGATCCTAATAGAATTACATTGCAGTTGACTCTGATGATCTTCCTGGTCATGAGTCAGATGCCTCTTTACGGCATTGTCTCCTCCGACACTTCGGACCCCCTGTACTGGCTCCGTATGATGCTGGCCAGTAACCGGGGTACTCTGATGGAGCTGGGTATCACCCCTATTATCTCCTCCGGCATGGTCTTCCAGGTATGCGATTCCAGAACACTTTCTTATTATTCGCGGTAATTATACTGACACATCTTGTTCTCCAGCTCCTTGCCGGTACCCACCTCATTGATGTCAACCTCGACTTGAAGACCGACCGCGAGCTCTACCAGACCGCCCAGAAGCTCTTCGCTATCATTCTGTCCTTCGGCCAGGCCTGTGTTTACGTCCTGACTGGTCTCTACGGCCAGCCCAGTGACCTCGGTGCCGGTATCTGTGTTCTCCTGATTGTCCAGCTGGTTGTGGCTGGTCTTGTTGTTATTCTGCTTGACGAGCTCCTCCAGAAGGGCTACGGTCTTGGCAGCGGTATCTCCCTGTTCATTGCCACCAACATTTGCGAGTCGATTGTCTGGAAGGCCTTCTCCCCCACGACCATCAATACCGGCCGTGGCCCCGAGTTCGAGGGTGCTATTATCGCTCTGTTCCACCTGCTCCTGACCTGGCCCGATAAGCAGCGCGCCCTGTACGAGGCGTTCTACCGCCAGAACCTGCCCAACGTCATGAACCTCCTGGCTACTCTTCTTGTCTTCGCCGCTGTCATCTACCTGCAGGGCTTCCGTGTTGAGATCCCCGTCAAGTCTTCCCGCCAGCGTGGCATGCGCGGCTCGTACCCCGTCCGCCTCTTCTACACCTCCAACATGCCCATCATGCTCCAGTCCGCTCTGTGCTCCAACATCTTCCTCATCAGTCAGATGCTGTACTCGCGCTTCTCTGAGAACATCCTGGTCCAGCTTCTCGGAGTTTGGGAGCCCCGTGAGGGATCTGCTCAGCTTTACGCCGCCTCGGGTATTGCTTACTACATGTCCCCTCCTCTCAACTTCAAGGAGGCTCTTCTCGACCCTATCCACACCGCTGTTTACATCACCTTCATGCTTGTTGCCTGTGCCCTCTTCTCCAAGACCTGGATTGAGGTTTCCGGCTCCGCTCCCCGTGACGTTGCCAAGCAGCTCAAGGACCAGGGTCTTGTCATGTCTGGTCACCGCGAGCAGAGTATGTACAAGGAGCTGAAGCGCGTTATCCCCACTGCCGCTGCTTTCGGTGGTGCCTGCATTGGTGGTCTGTCTGTCGCCTCCGACCTTATGGGTGCCCTCGGCAGTGGTACTGGTATTCTTCTTGCCGTCACGTAAGTTACTCCGTTGATAACTCAATTTTGTTCATCTCAGCTAACAGTTCAATACAGCATCATCTACGGCTACTTCGAAATTGCCGCCCGTGAGGGTGACATTGGCGCTGGCCTCAAGGGCCTCGTCCCCGGCAGCTAAACGAGACTGCCCGTATTTTCACGAGCAGCATGACATAGGATCACACCAGTCCTTTGCAACCTCTCTGTTTACTTTTCTGTCTTTTTTTCTGTCCGTTCTACGTTATACTTTTTGGGTGAATGGATCGGCGCCGTCTGTTTGGCTGAATTGGAACTATACCGATTGATATTCAGTCGTGCGGGTTGATTAACCTGCCGATGAACGTCCCGAGGTCCCCTCTCTGGGAGTCTCTGCACGTCGACACAACCGTGTCAACGTTCTATGTCGTCCATGTGTAAAATCATATGGGTCTAATCTCACTCGATAGACGGTGCTCAGTGATGAAAAGCGCCCTGTTTAGGGTCTTGTAACCATATGTGTCTAGAAAAACCAAAATCATATATTCAACTTGCCATGATCCTCAACCTCGTTCATATTAATACTTATTTTAACGGTTCTTTGTAACTATAGGCATCCTCGCTCCCAAAGGCCTTCAATCCCGAAATAACCCCTTAATTCGTCAATTCCCACTACACATGCTAAATACATCTCCTTTAAGTCCGGTAATCACCGTTGATAGTCACATACTCGTGACTGAAATCACAGAACCAATAAACAGCATCCTCACCACCACACCCAGCAGCTCCCTGTTCACCACCACCAAGATCAACCTCGATCTCAAGATCCTCATTCTGCAGAATAGCACTAGCCCGCTGCTCATCAACAGTCTCAGGCTCACCGTTGACCAACAGCTTCAAAACCTCACTCCCATCAACTGGACGGAAGCTAACAGAAGTCCGCTCAGGAACAACAGTTCCCTCAGCAACACCCTGTGTATAACCAACGGCGCAAAGAATCCGGCCCCAGTTAGCATCCTTACCATAAAGAGCCGTCTTAACGAGCGGCGAGCGCGCAATCGTCGAAGCGATCTGTCGCCCAGACTCATAATCCGGCGAGTTGCGCACACGCACAGTAACAAACTTAGTAGCACCCTCGCCGTCCCGCACAACCAGCTGCGACAGCTCCTGCGCGAAATCAGTCACAATGCCCTGCAGCGCGGTGTAGTCGGCACTGGCAGACGCGGCCGGCGCGCGCACAGTCTCGCCGCCTGCGGCCCCGTTCGCCAGCACCGCGATCGTGTCGTTCGTGCTCGTATCGCCGTCGATGGAGATCGAGTTGAAGGATCGCGACACGGCATGTTTAAGGATTGATTGCAGTGCTGCGGGCTCGACGGCGGCATCCGTGCAGAGGACGCCGAGAAGCGTCGCCATGTTCGGGTGGATCATGCCGGCGCCTTTGGTCATGCCTGCGAGGCTGTAGGTGCGGTCTGGGGAGGAGGGGAGGGTGAAGGTGCGCGAGAGGAGCTTGGGGAAGGTGTCTGTTGTGCAGATTGCGCGGGCTGTCGTGAGCCAGGCTTCGTGTGTGGAGTCGAGGGTTGAGTGCGCTGTTGGGATGCGGTCGAGGATCTTGGAGATCGGGAGGCTGGTGGGTGGGTTATTTGGTTAGTTATGGGGCATTTCTTGGGTGGGTTATGCAATTGAGATAGGATGGTGAATTTACCGTTGTCCGATGACACCGGTGCTCATCACTAGCGAGCTGTCGTTCTCGACACCGCTGCACTCATCTACTTTTCTTCCCATCTGCACGGCGTCCTCTAGGCCGCCCTTACCGGTGACGGCATTGGCGCAGCCTGAGTTGATCACGACAGCGCGGATACCATTGCCTTTGCGGCTTTGCAGTGTCTTCCTGCTAACTTGCACTGGCGCAGCCTGAAACTTGTTGGTTGTGAACACTGCTGCGGCTGAGCATGGCGTATCGGAGGCGATCAGTGCCAGATCCGGGAAGCGAGTGTTGGAGGCCTTGACGCCCACATGGGTGCCAGACACTTGGAAGCCCTGGGGGTAGGTGCCGGTCGTGGGGATATAGCGCTGTTTGGAAGCCGGAATGGCCATGTCCAGCGGTGCGGAGTAGCATCGGACTTGGCCCTTGAGCATGCGGGCGAGGGAGGTGGCCATGGTGGCGGATTGGGTAGTTGGAACCATGTGAGCTCTGTCTATGGCAGTTGCTAGACTTGCTAGAGACCAGCTGTTTATGAGGGGTGGTGTCTCTCGTGAGTCAAACCCCGTTGAGTCAAGGGAAAAAAGTAGCCGATCTCGGGAGCTCCCCACTCGGCAACTAATTGCGCGGTATGAGCCCACTGCAATTGAGATATCTGGAGATATCTTGGGGGAATTTGATTATTTGCTTCTACTTGTTGACCGCTAGTCGTTGAGTACTACATAGACAAAAATGGAATTTAGTCTGCACATTGGCTCACATGACTTTGCGCGACTTTTTTTAGTCCAGCGCCCTGGAGTAGAAATCAAGTTGGATTTTTACACAAATTACCAACTAGAAAGACCACAGATAGCACAGATGAGGATAAACTGAGGTAAAACCACGCGAATTCAAGGCAGTGTAGGCAGTGTAGTCCGTAACGCCCTTATACCTCCAACCCTCAGACGCGGAGTCGGAGAAACCCATCCGCTCCAATTTAATTCCTTCAAGCACCTCGAGACCCAATTAAGCCCCAATTAAGCCCTACATTCCAGTGTCAGACCTGCAGCTCCCTGCAATTACGAGATCTCGAATTTACCAACCTTGGAAGCCCCTTGCGTCCCGACCCTGTGCACATTCTCCGGATCTGATGGTACTGTTGATTCTTTCCCCTTCGCGTTTACGTGACTGTAATCTGACTAGACTGTCATGAAGCGTAAGCTCTCAGACGCCGGCGATCAGCCGCCTGTTTCGACCCCAAAGAGAAGACGCACAGCCTTAGAACAATCCAATGGCGCCTTGAATGGCCACGCGCCCAACGGCGCACTCCCGAACGGCGATGCCTCCTACGAGCTTCCTCCGTCAGCACGGGGTCAATCAACACCCAAAAAGGCCAACGGTGTTTCCGCAACGCCATTACAACAGTCTGGGCTGAAAACGCCAACCCACAAATCCAAGGCTCGTGGATTGTTCGCTACGCCTACCAAGCCCAAGTCCGCAACGGCAGCGACCCCGTCTCGAGTTAAGAATGCAGACCGGTCTGCGCGGAAGAAGAGTGCACGAGTGCTATTCGAGCAGGACGAAGATGCAGCTTGGGATGGATCTGAACGACTAGCGGAAGAAATCTTACATGGAGATGAGCCGGATACAGAGAAAGCCGGTCAGTCTCTCGCGGAGAGTATAGAACCTGAAGGCGCAGAAGAGGCTCCTGAAAAGGGAGTCAAACAGCCAAAGCGTCGTGCGGGACGACCGAAAGGCGCGAGAAATAAGCGCTCCCCGACACCGGAAGGCGAGCTCCCTGCACACGAACGATACTTCTTCCAGAACCGCGCTGGTCCTGTCAAGACATCAAATGCCACCCTCAACAAAGTACCACTCCTGACGCACGAGGAATATTTCGAGAAGCTTGGACAATACGAGGATCCGTGCAAGGAAGAGAAGGAATACCTGCAATCCTTGCACCACCGATCTTTCCCGCAGTGGGCATTCGAGTTTGATGAAGGGTTCAACATATGCCTATTTGGTTACGGCTCCAAACGAAAGCTCATGGACGAATTCGCGGAGTGGATTTACAACCACCAATTATCAGTCACTACGACTCCAATTATTGTTATGGTGAATGGTTACACACCAGGCATCTCAATCCGATCAATCTTCGCCACGATCGTCACAGCCGTAATGGGTGACGATGCACCATCCAAGCTTGGTGCACAGCCAACCGAGGTCCTCGAGCTGCTACAGTCTGCGCTCAAGTCACACAAAGAGCCCGTCACTGTTTTGATCAATTCTATTGACGCCCCGCCTCTCCGCCGCGCAGCCAACCAAGCGCTGCTCGCCCGTTTGGCTGCAACACCGCGCATCCGTCTCCTGGTCACAGCCGATACCCCCAACTTCCCGGTCATGTGGGATATCAGTCTGCGTGATCAACTCAACCTTGTCTTCCACGACTGTACAACCTTCCTACCGTTTTCAGCGGAGGCCGACGTCGTCGAGGAGGTTAACATTCTCCTTGGACGCAAGGGCCGCCGCGTCGGCGGGAAAGATGGTGTGGGCTTTGTGCTCAAGAGTCTGCCCGAGAACGCACGCAACCTGTACCGTCTCCTGTTGACAGAACTGATCACTCTACTGGATGATGGCCACCAGTCAGACGACGAAGGCGCGGGAGAGGGCGGCGGCAAGGCTGGCGATGAAACTGGCATCGAGTTCCGTCTTCTTTACCAAAAAGCAACGGAAGAGTTTGTCGCTTCTTCGGAGATGATGTTCCGTACCCTACTGAAGGAGTTCCACGACCACCAGATGATCACTTCGCGCATGGATGCAAGCGGCATGGAGATACTGGGTGTGCCACTATCCCGGGACGAAATGGAGGGCGTGCTGGAGGATCTGGTGCTGGGGTAGTGTAGATTCCCCCTTGTATTTGGTGTGGAATAGATCAAGACTCATGATACCCCTGTACGAATGAACTTTTTACCAATTATAAATCAGGCGTCCCGTCCAATAGCCCAAATTGGCGTCCTTGTCAATTGGCGAAGACCAACTTGGCATTGTTCGAGTGTATGTACAAGTAGCGTTAGATCTCGGTCTAACCGAACAAGTGAAGCCTAGAAATTCGCAAACGCCGCCATCGCCATCGTAACACCGAAACTCATTTTGAACGGCCGTTTTTCACTCATAGCGCGACCCAAGTCAACACTCTTAACATATTTCTGAATCCGGTTGATCGGAATAATATTGTACCCTTTGGACGCAGCGAACTACGATTGAGAAGAAGTATCAGCGTACCGTCACAGGTATAACCCATCCACACCATAACCACGGGCATCGGAACACCAAACAAAGCCAATGGAAAGCTCCAAATCTACGGCAGAAGCTTATACATACCTCAACAAGAACAACCCCCATACCCAAAATAACAACCAAAGCCTTCGAAAACGCCCTCAACCCAACACCAGCAACAAGCCCCAACACACTCCCCAAGCTAACCTGACGCATAGTCTCCGCATTTAACAGCCCATTCCGCCTGCTGTGACTCTGCTTCTGCTCCACAGATTCGGCGGGGTTAACAGCCCACTCTGAGTCTTTCTTGAAGGACGATTGCTGGGGCACGGCGTACTGGCATTGCATTGGGGCAGCGCGGAAGGGTGACAAGGGGTGCATGGTTGCGGCGGAGAGACCGATGCCGACGCCTAGGCCCAGCCGGAGAAGGGTGGCGGGTTGGTGGGTGAATAATCTGAAAGACATTGTGTCTGTATTGCTTGTCTCTCCTGCAATTGAGGGAGTCGGAGAGTCGGGTTTGGAGGGGTTTGTGGTTGGAGATGAGCTTCCTTGGTCGATAAGGATACCCGGGTGACGTCATATATCGCTGAGCTCATCCATGGATGGAGCTGAAGGATTGAGGCTCTTTTTTTTTGGAAGTTTCCAAGGTTGGTTATTGTTTTTCTTATTTTGGAGTCTAACTTTAACTTGCTAGATTCAGGTAGTATACTATGTTTACTATGACTACTGGGATATGTATAGGCATCGGGATGCGTATAATGCTAAATTGGAGACATGTACGGAGTAGCAATGCACATAACTATGTTGTGCGTATGGACCCTCGATGTGTATGTGTATAACCAAAACTTATATGCAGGTGCAGACAAGGGTGCTTATAGCAACTCTCCTGCCAGAATAGGATAAATTCTAACATTACATGTGCAGTGATAAGTCACTTAAAAAATAACCTACCTAGGTAGAATTGGCAACGCCTAGGCATCCATCTAAGTCTTTAGCCAAGTACAATAGAAAGCCATCTCGCCTACTGAATTAGGCAGTTATATTAATGCCAAGGGCCAAGAGCTACCTACCAGGTCACTTTACGTACTTGATTTCCTCTACCGGGTGGGGCTTTACTATTTCAGATGCCGCTTTTATGAGGGCGCCCAGTTAGGCTGGCTCACTGAGTAAATTTCAGTACAAGCTCAGAGTTGCTCAGAGACGGTCACGTGGTATATTAGTCAGACTCTCTGAGCACACTGACCGAGTTTGATCAGAGGCATCTATTGAGCACTCAGTCTACGTTTAGTCTATACCTAAAGGAGCACTAGGCCCCACAATTCTGTTTATTCATTACTTTTTGATGGCCGCGACAGCTCGGTCGGGCGAGTCGTGAACCAGAGCAGACATGGTGATGTGGTAAAGATGTTCCTCAGATGAGCAGAGATGGCAACTGAGAGATTGCTGCCAGGCTCATAACCTGTTGTATGTCAAAGAAATATTGATTGTTCTTATACTGGAGGGAATAACTGAGGCTATATATACAATGAGAAGATCAAGTTGATTGAAAATCAACTTCAATCAACTTGATTTTTTGTATAGACAATGCAGGAATTAATTCAGCTGGGGCGGCTTGATTCCTGATCTGCACCAGCCTCATATTACAACAGGCTCTAGTGAGGGTTCTACGAGGGCGTACCGCTTATATCTAGAACACATAATCACATTATCAGAAAAGAAAAAAATCAAAACATTCCCTGGTTAGGGGGTGGTTCCATATTTTTTAGTGCTTCCCCTATTGCCTGGAATGTGGCAATCTGCCGTTCCTGCTCTTCCTGAGGCAGAGCAGTAAAAGCACTGGTTTCTTCGTCCCACTTCCTCACACAGTCCACATTCCAATTGCACCTCTCGACCTCTCCAAAGATCGGGTGATGGAATCGTGGGTGACGGTTTGGCCACGAAGATGCATGGTAATGGTGCTTGACCAACGCCGCGCGCGAATTATGGGAGCCCGAGTCCGAATGACCTTGCCCAGCGGCGAACGCTTCAACGGTGAGAACCAGAAACCCCCCGACAACTTTGGACTCTGGTATGTCATGGAACATACTCCATGTGACATCCTTGCCCGTTGTACGGCTCATTTCAGATAGTATTGCGCCTGTAAAGGCAGAAGGCCCGGTGCCTGTGATCACATCATCGAAGTCCAGCTGAAGCTCTGAGATTGGCCTCCCTTGCTCGATGGAGAGCTGATTGAGCCAGAGGAGGATATTCTCCACTAGTCGCATCATCACGGGTTGTCGAGGCTTGCACATGAATGTCCATTGACAGAAGGATTGAGATTTTTGACCTAGTATAGGATGGTCGCGGAAGTGTGGCTCATCGATTTCGATGCCAATAACCATGTCGATCTCGCTTTCATCGTGGGTGTTTGGGATGAATCGATCAACTGGTCTCAATGCCTCCACGTCTATATCAGCATAGACACCTCCCTCCATGTACAAAACAAGGTACCGAAGTAGGTCGGCCTTGATGATCGGAGCCGTTAAAGATCGGTATGTTTTAACGATATCTGATCGATTCAGCCCAAGGGGTCCGAAGTTTGCTTCGACATAGTCGAGGTCATTCTGGTCGGTCAGAACCTCGTACCTATAGCCCGGGTTTTTAGATATCCAGCTGCGCGCTACCTCGATATCACGCCCGTCGAATTCCAATGGATTCACTTTCCAGATCTGCCAGATTTTCCTGGGAAATTGTTCGCCAATATTGCTCGTCAGCTGAGTAGAGTACGATTGATTCTCGCCAAAGTCGTGCGACGTTCTGGTGACACAAAAGTAGATGAACAGACACAAAGCCACGAGGCCCCCATGTGTGAATCTGCGTGCCTTCTTCGGAAAGAGACTGGGCAACACGAAATTCTTCTCCAGCATGACTGGGCCTGTGATGTGATTTAATTCAGTGACCTCCTGTCTGGGACAAGCATCGAAGGCGAGAAGGGAGAAAGATTGTTAGTACAGGAAGGCAGTGCCTTATTTCACTGATAAGTGGATTACATACAGTACATGTCATCGTAATTAACATGTGGTAACTAGTTATTCATTAAGTCTACCATGTATTGCCTCGGGTCACGTTACTCCCTATCACCTTAGGCTTGTACCTCCTTCTCTAGGCTGTATTGTCGGTACATTCGCGAACGCAATAGTACCTGTCGCTGGCACGGAAATGGTCAAGGGTTGAAGCTTAACAGATTGGATCATTCTTAGTGCAGTGAAACGCCTTCAGCCATTCGGGCGGAGGGGCCAATAGTAGAGACCTGGTGGAGGCAGTCAATTATGGATTTAGTTCAAAACGCCATCTAGACTTCACATGCGACCCCAAACCTTGAGACATTGCAGGGGTGAGTTCGTGGCTGCACGGCGCCAGTCACATCGGGTCATACTTCCGAGGGGGGTCTGCGTTCAGGCCCTGAGTTGTGGGGGAAGGAATGGAAGTGGGCCGCGAGGGTCCGGCTCTAATCTCTTTATGGGCCTCGGCACGACTGGGCACTGGGGCTCACCCGCTAACAAGGACTACTCACTGTATGCGACCACTGGATTCACGTGTTACAGAGTTGTACTGAGAGCTGTGTAATTCTCAAGCGGTGAAATTTGGGTTTCTATTGATCTTTTCTTCAAAAATTTAAAGGACTCTCTTAACTTTACTTTAATCCACTCGCCCGATGCCTATGCTACACCCCTCAATCGAGAACCCTTCACCTCAGTTGTTGAAGTCAAGCCCAGAGCGAGCCCTCGAGGATGGACAGTGGAAACCAAAGTTTGCCCATATGACACGCTCTCGGCATGGGATGTCACTCCCCTCTTGGATGGTTCCCTTCCTGCCCACACTCCTTACTGGGCGGACAAATAGCGACAACAATGTGAATGAAAAGCAACGGTTAATTAGCAGCAGGCCGACCGCATACCTAGATGGACTGCGAGGTTTTGCGGCTCTACTAGTCTACTGGGGACATCATCAACTTTGGGCCCACGATGGCGGAGGGGTGGGAAATGCCCTCGAGCTGGCCTACGGTTACGACGACAAGTACTATTTCGCATGCCTTCCTGGTATTCGAACACTGTTTTCGGGGGGGCATTTTGCCGTCAGCGTCTTTTTCGTGCTCTCTGGGTACGTTCTTTCAATGAGGCCACTGGTAAACATCCAGGATGGCGATTACGTTGGACTAGGTAAATGCCTTTCCTCGGCCGTATTTCGCCGATGGTTTCGTCTATATATTCCTGTCATTTGCACAACATTATTCTACATTACATTTTTGCACTTGTTTAAGATCACCGCTATCCCAGAGCTTCAAGGAAGCTACCGCTCGGAGCTATGGAATTGGTACGCCGAGTTCAAGAATTTCAGTTTCCCTCTCCGAACAGGCGGCGAGCCCTGGTTCACATACAATTTCCATGCTTGGTCTATCCCCGTCGAACATCGAGGCTCTCTGGCTGTCTACACCGCCGTTCTCGCCTTTTCAAGATTACACCGCAATGCCCGGCTCCTAGGCGAAGTCGCGTTGGTTGTGTACTTTTTGTACATTGCGGATGGAGCACACTATGCTATGTTTATTGCCGGCATGCTTCTAAAAGATCTCGACCTCCTCGCCATACGAAATGACTTGCCCCGCTTCTTTCTCAGACTGGTTCCCTTCAAGGCAACCATCATGACTGTTCTCTTCTATGCAAGCCTTTATCTTGGAGGGGTCCCCTCACATACGGACAATTTGCAACAATTACGTGACTCATCAGGGTGGTACCTCTTATCCTTCCTAAAGCCACAGGCAGTGTTCGATTACAAGTGGTTCTACCTGTTCTGGGCCGCTGTCTTTCTCGTCACATGCACATCTCATCTTCAGTGGCTCAAGACATTCTTTAACGCCCCATTCAACCAGTACTTGGGCCGTATTTCGTTTGCATTCTATCTGGTTCACGGACCGGTTCTGTGGACTTTTGGCGACAGGCTCTATGCTGCAGTGGGTTTCGTACGCGATTCACACCATGAGAATTGTCCCTGGTGGATTAATCGCCTCCCCTTGCCTAACGTTGGTCCTCTTGGGCTTGAAGTCAACTTTCTCGCCGCGAATCTGGTTCTGTTGCCCTTGACTATCTGGCTGGCAGAGGTCACGACTAGACTAGTTGATGAGCCGGCGGTGAAGTTCTCTCAGTGGATCTACCAAAGGGCGCTGAATGACAAAACCTGACAACCCTCCGCATGTGTCCATGGCCTGCCTGGTTTGCTTTTGAGTATCTAATGCATAATGCAAAGCGTTCTTCTAAATAATAAATTACTGTATAATAAGAGCCTTGCAACCGGAAACGAAAGTTACTGCTAGCCCGGAGCCCGAAGCTCAGGATATCAATGGATCATAAAACTCTTGTAATGGCATTCCTGACATTCACCTTAGATTTGGCAGTACTATTTGCAATATTGAAAATTCTCTGCTGGAAGCAGTTTTCCTATAGTTTTGCAAAGATATCCGGGTCACTAAGCCATGTTTCATAATCATGGTGGTAAATATTGTTTAGAGTTGTGACACCCCTCAATTCAGCCACTGCCCGTGTCAGTCAAAGCCCCCTTTTTTAGTCAGTATCAACGACCAATCTCGGCAAGGCTTTCTCTGAAATAACCTTGGAATACTTATAGCCTCTTACTGTTACATCCCGTCTACACTCGCCGAACTGAACATGGGCAAAAAAATAGCCACACACCTGATACTTATTGCAGGGCTATTGTCCACGGTAATCCTCGTCGCCAAATTTCAATCCAACCATCTCGGCTTGCAATCGAGACTTCTGTTTACGGACTATTCCTCGGATAGTCCATATAGGCAATCACACATTGATGCCGGACAATCCGACATAGCTTGTTCAGGCGTTCATGGCAGCAAAACTTTGTCCCACTGCCGGGATGGACAAGTTACGGACGAGGACCGAAGGTATCCTGGATTCGACAAAGACATGTCTCAGACACACCATATAGTATACTCGGCATCGAATCCCGATCGAAATTATTTTCGGATCGACTTCGGAAGAAGATCCGTCTTGAATCCCAGTATAATCCCCCATCCTGAGCTGCAGGACACCTGGATCATCACTGCACAACTTCGCAAGCCTTCTTCTTCTTCTGCTCGAACTGCCTCGGTCTGGTTCGCTGAACTCGTCTGCGATGCCGCATTTTCGGACGACAAGGGAGTCTTGAGCTGTCTGGAACCACCACTGCAATTGCCCATCCCAGCGACCTTTGGTGACTCCAGCAAGTGTCTCGGCGACCTTTCGTACTTTAGTCTCAACGTTGGGCCTCATGATGCAAGGGTGTTCTACGGGCCCGAGATTCCGTACACCATTTACGGCTCCAATTCGTTCTTTACATGCTTCGGACAATGGATATCCGACTTTCGAATCTTGGTGGATTGGGGGATAGACACCATAAATGAGCACGAATTCCGGCAGTATCGTGAGCTTCAACGTCCAATGCCATGGAATTCTGTTGAGAAGAATTGGTTTCTCTTCTGGGATGATTCGGGACAAATGTTCCTACACCATGAAATTACACCGGCACGTGTGTTTTCGAAACTCGAGCTAGATGGCTCTGTTGGACCAAACTTGGCGCTGACGACCTCTGCTTCTGACCAAGAATGTCTCCAGAGGTTTTTGCCTGAGACGGGAAAGATTCATCAAGCGACAAACTCGCTAGCTATCACTCTATGTGCACGATCTGACCAATTTTGCCAACCTGATGCGACCAATACCTTTGTGCTCTTCATCATCCAACAAAAGACCTTTCAAGGCCTTCACCCCGTGTATGAGCCCTATGTGGTGCTGATGCGGCGTTCGATGCCGTTTGAGATCTATGCGGTCTCGTCAAAACCAATCTGGATCTTTGGTCGCAGCATTAGAGCAGAGAAGTCTGATGAAGATTCTTCCACAGGATTACTGGAAGATACCTCCGAGATGATCTACATGACTAGTATCAGTTGGAAAAGCCATGGCCAAAAGTACCATGGGTTCATTGATGACACACTGTTCTTAGCCTTTGGCAGGGAGGATTCAGACGCTGGCGGTATCGACGTCACGGCCGGGGACCTTCTAGCAGAGCTGGGTACATGCGCAGGATTTTGATTTAATGCTCTAATACTGTAATATTTACGCGGGCTTGCATGTTTCGTTCTCAATGGGCCTAAAGGTAAATCGTACGTAGTACGCAGGCGCGTTCGGGCAGGGAAGAATTTAATTTATGGTACTGTACATACTAAAAATTACAGAACGAAGAAAACGACGAAGACAAGGATCCCTTTCAGGGTCCGTACTGTTCCAAAAATCTTCTCCAACCTCTCTCGGTCTTCTCCTCTTTCTCTTGCCTAAATCTTGGTCGGTGGGCTGGGTGGCGATGTTGGCGTTGTCTAGCGCAATTTGCCGTATTTTTAATTTCTCGCTGTGGAAAGAGCTAAAAAAATTGTACATATTTTCACATGTTTTGCTACCAAATTCCCCAAGAGCTTCATCGACCGAGGTTCTCAAAGTTCCCAAACCCCAGACCTGAGCGTACCCCATGAATTTTTAGCATATGCCAGAAAGTCTAATTGATTAGGGCTTGCGGGGGGTGTGGGACGGGCCAATTGAGGTGTTTATTGCCGAATCCGACGTTGCATCCAATTTCCCCCACACTAGGCTGTATGAGGCTGGCATAGTGGGATAGTGGGATGCTTGTATGATAGTGTATTGATGTCTGCGACAGTCCTACCTGTTTGGTATTTTCTATATAGTCACCCAAAACCTGGAGACGGTAGTCTCACTTGAGACTATGAATATATCTAGTGAAGAAATGCGCCTTGGAATTCAAAATCCCACCATTCGATGTTTGAATCCTCTATTCTAGAATAGGAATGGTAATTAAATGAGTGTAGCTTGAGATGGCTTAGTAGAGGCAATGAACATGGAAGGAGGTAGCAGCACCAAATTAAGTATAGCAGACAGCTGACAAAAAAACCATTATGTTGTCTCTCCCACAACTCTTCAGATAAAGAAGATCATGCTGGCTAACAGGATAGCACTACCAGCCATCTGAACAGCTCCGGGTGCAATACCAGGGGCACCGTTGAATTGGGAGGTGCTCTGAGCCGAAGCTGCGTTGGTCGTGGACGAAGTCTTGAAGCTTGACCCGGAACCTGACCCGGAATTACCGACCGCGGTAGAATTGGAGCTTGATCCGAAACCACCGCCCGTGGTAGAATTGGAGCTCCTCGCTGTGGTTGGGATAGCTCCTACGGCAGTCGTTGTGGGAACCGATGTGTCCACCGCGGGGATAGAGACCGGATGGCCAGCACCAGAACACAAGGATTCAACGAGGCTGGATACGACTATAGGGCCTAGTTAGACCGGGTCATACGAAAGGGAATGTGGTGGCTTCTCATACCTTGTCGGTCCTTGACATCACAGGCTTTATTGATGCAGGGCACAATCTCCGCTGCGAGGCCAGGCTTTTGGCAATGGCACGCGAAATCCGTAAGCTCAGAGCAGCCGTCCCCGGAAAGGGTCGAAGTGAAACAGGTAAGCTGGAAGAGAAAGAAGAAACAAGCACGCGTTAGTTAGAAACGAGACACTGAGCAGAGATATTGAGCGGACAGGGCATACAGAGCATTGGGGGATATTGGATAGTTGAGCTCTAGCGATGGCACCGGCGGCGAGCACAACAATAGCAGCAGGAAGGCGCATTTTGACTATGGTGTAGAACCGAATAGATGAATAGCCTAGAGTCGGTCTGGCGTGGAGGACATTTAACGCGATCAGAACAACGGAGTCTGGATGTATGCCCGAGACTAGTTTTATATGACTCAGTTCCAATACAGGCTCTATCTCAGGCTAGCGGGATATACCGACTATTAGAACATCATGTCACATTATTGGTCACATAAGAGTTATCTTGATTTCCCTTCCAAAAGTACAGTCAGCTCGGTTCTCTTCCTAACTAGTATTTCAACTAGTGTAAACCCTGTTCCGTTCCTGATCCTTCAATAATCTGAACGAATGAAATTCAATCATTGAACGGGGGCGTAAAGCTTGCACAAAGATGGTTTAGTGTGGACCAACAGGACGCCAAGTCATTGAGTTTTGGTACAACATAGCCACACTGGACTGACTCAATGACGGTACTCGCACATGTCTTTAATTAAACATGGTGGACCGAGGCGGGGGTCCGGGGTAGCCAAGGGACCATTCACTAGAATTGGTACTCTGAGCGATGGGTGCTAGCTATTATATCTATAAGTTTTCACGAAAACCGGTCTGAATTATATCGGTAGTTCCCATTAACAAACGAAGTCAGTCTAGGTTCTTATGATTCCAATTTTTACGGTCATGCCTGAAACGCATATTTGTAGGTCAATGGCATTTCTCAACTTTGTTGGCCGCTGGGAGGGGCTTGATCATCACCAGACAGGTTTTCCTCGCCGCCTTCTCCCCGTGTAAGTGGATGACTCTCCCACTCAAATTCCGCAGTAACAGCTTGGTCACAGGTCGACAAGGAGGTGAGACATTGTAGTCCTTTCCTCTCATTGGCTTCAGTGACAGCACAGTATCCAAAAGGCTGGCTGGCCAAGCTTAGAGCGGGAGGTTGCGGCTGTCTTTTGCCACTGACGGACGTTTTAGTAGCCTTATCCTCTTCTCGTGGGAAAATGAGTGAATTCGGCTAGATAATAGCTTGACCATAAGATTGACGTATATTGTCCCTAATGAATTTAGGAGGTTCGGGGATTCGAGGATTAATGGCCTAGAGTTAGTTGGCCCCGACTCGGGGCCAATTCATAGGAACTGACTTAGCTGCAGTGGTATATTTATGTAGGCATACCCACTTTGGGATCACACTAGCAGAGTTAGCATTAACTATATCATTGAATCGGGGCACTCACCTTACAATATTAATCTTCTAGCAATATTTGTAGGACAAAACTCTAAATCGGGCTTTCATTTAGGAGGTATACGACGTCAAAGCCACGGGTACATTGTGTTTATAGATCTTGGATAAAAAGAAGTTTTTCGTGAAAGCTCTTTAGTGCAGGACATGACCGTCGCAATTCGCGCAACCTCCGGTATAATCAACACTTAAGCTTTGTGCGCTTGTCATTTTCCAAGTTCGTGGGCTCTTCTTCCCCGATTGATAATTTTCCGGTCTCTTCTCTCTAGTAGTCCTCCAAAGCCTGATTAGCAAAGTATCCCCAGGAGCATCTATTATAGGATGGTAATGCTGATTAGGTGGTCGAGTAGCAGGCTACATTATGGCGCAATTAGTTGCAGCCAGTTTACTAGGATGAATGGTCACAGTGATGATGCCAGGCCTTTTTTGATGGGACGATAGAGGCCATCTAAAAGAGGAGGGCTGCACGTGATGGGACTAGCGTGTTGCATTTTATTGATGTAGCTTACTCAGTTCGTTCACTCTCCAGGGCTGTGATAGTCAGATGATGCTTAATCAGCTTATGTAATGATCTGTGAGCGGCTCAGAGTGTTCAATGGCGTGCTCAATTTTACTCTGAGATCAAAAAGCGGCAAGGTCTGAGCACTAAATAGGAAAGCCCAAGAAGTGGCAGAGGTAAGCGCCAAACATGACTAACAGGAAATCTTTCCGACGCCGGGAGGTCCAAACCTTGGAGAGCAGGCGGTCTGTTGTTCACCGGATGGAAATCCTCGGGAAAGGCAGTTGACTTTCCAGGGATCTGTGGAGCGGAGGGGCAGTTTGGGTCTGATTGGCCTGAGGCAAGTAACCTTGGGGAAAAGTGTATTTCTTACTGACTCACTTTCGGGATCTCTTCTTTTTTTCTCTTTATATTCTTCCAATTCACTTTCAATTCTGTTCATATTCCCTTCTTTTAGCTACACAATTCACAATGGCTGCTCCCAACGGAACCACCGGCAATGACTTCACTGTCAAGGCCGGTCTTGCCCAGATGCTGAAGGGTGGCGTTATTATGGACGTCGTGAATGCCGAGCAAGTACGATCTCTCTGACGAGGAATTGATACTATCCAGTATAGAAAACTAACAGATACCTCTGCCAGGCCCGCATTGCCGAAGAAGCCGGTGCCGCCGCCGTCATGGCCCTCGAGCGTGTCCCCGCTGATATCCGTGTTGAGGGTGGCGTCGCGCGCATGTCCGACCCCGGCATGATCAAGGAGATCATGGAAGCCGTGACCATTCCCGTCATGGCCAAGGCCCGTATCGGACACTTCGTTGAATGCCAGGTATGTGACAGTTGTCTCCATGCCCCCTCCCCCTCCCCCGCATGGAGGGGAAAACGGAGATCCCCCGGTGGCGGGGGAGGCAAAATTAGTAACATCACCACTAACAATCACCGGCCTGCAGATCCTGGAAGCCATTGGCGTTGACTACATCGACGAATCCGAGGTCCTTACCCCCGCCGACGATGTCTACCACGTCACCAAGCACGGCTACAAAGTCCCCTTCGTCTGCGGTTGCCGCAACCTCGGCGAGGCTCTGCGCCGCATCTCCGAGGGCGCCGCTATGATCCGCACTAAGGGCGAGGCTGGCACCGGCGATGTCGTCGAGGCTGTTAAGCACATGCGCACTGTCAATGCGGAGATCAGCCGTGCCCGCGGTATCCTCCTTGCTAGCCAGGACGCCGAGCCTGAGCTCCGCGCCTTCGCCCGTGAGATTGAGGCCCCTTACGAGCTTGTGCGCCAGGCTGCTGAGCTCGGCCGTCTGCCCGTTGTTAACTTCGCCGCTGGTGGCGTTGCCACCCCTGCCGATGCGGCGCTTATGATGCAGCTGGGCTGCGATGGTGTCTTTGTTGGCTCTGGTATCTTTAAGTCTGGTGATGCTAAGAAGCGTGCCCGCGCTATTGTCCAGGCTGTTACTCACTTCAAGGACCCCAAGATGCTTGCTGAGGTCAGCCAGGGTCTTGGTGAGGCTATGGTTGGTATCAATGTGAAGCACTTGCCCGAGGCTGATAAGTTGGCTGGCCGTGGTTGGTAGATATGCTTTTCTGTCAGTTGTTTCAGCCTTGATCATTGTGTTCTAAAAATTTCTTGTACATGAGCCATGGGTAGATGTCTGACGTGACATATACAATATACGATTTGATACATTTGTCATTTTAAGGCCAATCATTAAATGTTGCCTAGAACTTTCCTAAGTGTAATACTTCTGCAACAAAAAGAGTAATATCATACTACGTTGCACGGGTCATCAACCATTTGGAAGACTACTATGTATTATCTCAGTGCCCTGCATAATACGAATTAAACTATTCCGCGCTCTGCCACCTGATAGGCTGCCCGCGCCGAGCCACCAAGCACCGAGAGTATGGGGAGATTCGTCTCGATATCAAAAGTCACGATTGGCGTTTTTAGCCCGCAGCTAGAGAAAATAGCCAATCGGGGCGTCGGCTGTCATCCCCATGTTACGCCGTAGTCTCCGAAGTAGTCTCCGACGGCGGGCCGTTGACGGGGAATTACGGAAAGGGTCGTTGGAGGTATTCTTTTTATGCTCCCATTGGTGGAAAACTATTTTGTTATTGTCTGTTCTGCCACTCAGTTTTGGTGTATCATACTCAAGCTATAGTACCTACAAGAACAGCCGGCCGCTTATGTGGCTTCTGCACTTGACGATGTAAGTCTTGGATAATTCCAAGGTTTGTGGTTAGAGATAATATCAGAGATGTTACATATAAGATACTACTGCGATATTTTTTTAGATGGTCTCTCAGATGTCTTTTCTTTGGATATCTCTTCTTCTTAGTGTTCGCCAGAAGGATAATGATTGGCTGCAGAATATAAAATCAGGAAAAAGCACAATTCTTATAGAACCAACTTTCCATGTATATGTTAGAAGGCCATGTCATTCAGACAGTGTTAAATAACTGAAGGAGTTGATGAAGTAGTCTGTAGTCTGTGCTGTAGGTATGTTTCACAGCTTAGGGATAAGGTTAGTGGGTCAATGCTAACTTAAGTGGGTTGTAGTCACATGATAACTATGGCATTTGTATAAAGTTAAGACATTGCTCATACAATAAATAACACAGCCGGTGCAGTAGTTGCAAGCGTCGAAAAATTTGTTAATGAAGCATGTGAGATTCTAAATTTAATTCCCCTCGGGACCAAAGTTCGCAGTTCGATGGTTTGTTAGACCATGTACTGCTGGGAATGTACATCGGCCCCCATCTCGGAGGCCATTCTTCTGCTTTTTTTCTCTTAAAGGTAGATCTAATGAGCATATGCTGCTGGTTGGGCAGTTCTGATTTGCCAATGTGTGTAGAATGGCTCGCTTTCAAGTTGAATTGGATGATCAATTCTTGGTTAGGTAGTAACTAAGAATGCTCACTTGCATCCCGACAAAAAAAAAGGATGCTACGGCGTTGAAGCGCGCGCAAGCTCGCTTAGATCAGTTCTGAAGGCAAGATTCGGGGTTTTTTGGAATTCTTTTGTCCAGTACAACATAGGACTTAGTCGAGATTTTACCCACTGGGCCACATCCTACTTGGACAGGAGTATATGCGTTCATCTTATACTTATTGAATCGTAGGACTCCTTTTTGTACGCACGGCGACCCAACGACTCGATAATTTGGAAAATTCTCAATTATGGCGCTTAGATGAATGCAAATAGGAACTCAAGTAGGATTCAATCAAGCTGCACCGCGCATCTCATGCAAATGGATATCTAAATGAACACCGAAGTTGCAGGACCCACCAACTCCAATCATTAGGTCATGTACCAGCAACGCAAGCTCCATTATTGGGCGTAATCGAAATTCATTCCACGGCATTTCAACCAGAAGGAACGCACCAGATCAAGGGACGGTTTCTGACCACCTCTAGCAACAGCGAGGGACTCCAAGAACCGCGACTTGTCTTGCGCCGATAAGAGCGGCACTTGTTGTCCAGTTGCATCTGTCACCTGGGCGTTCAAAGAGTCGAGTGCAGCCTTCAGAGCGGGGCGCGCCAATGCCATCTTCTTGAAAACAGTGCGTCGCAGAGCATCGTTCAGAGAGATTAAATCTGATCTTGCGCATCGGCCTGCAATCTGTTGGATGATTGTGTAACACAAGCGGGGAATAAACTCTTGATACACTGATTCAAGTATGTTCATTTCTTCTGGAGAGCTGCCACGGAGATCTATTAATGCAACCCAGAATGCAGAAGCGGATTTAAGAGGAAGTGGTTCAGGTCGTGTCAATGTGTGAAGTGTGAAGTGAAGAAGCACAGCAAGAGGAGACTCTGCGCTCAGGTTTGACTTCATGGGTGTAAACAATATCGGGTAGTACTTTGGCAAAAGACGTGTGAGGAAATCAATCCCGGCATTAGCAGTCTCTGGGTCGTACACATCCGGATTCTGGAGCATCGAAGAGAAGAGCTGGGCTACATGGTCGATGAGCGCCTCGGCCTCAGTGCGAATATTCATCGCATGCCGAGCGTGAGATGCCAAAAATGACGAGGCGGTTGCCATGATAACATCTGTCCCGGAGATACCGAGGGGAAAGCTCTTGATAAAGTCCACTGTCATAGAGGGCGGGAAGACAAAAAGTCCTGCCCGCTCAGTGTAGCCAGCTTTCAAAATGTCGCAGGCTGCTTCAATTATGCTACTGTCCACGGGGAAGTCGACAATCAAAAGTCTCATGGCCTCCATGATCAAGCGCTGGGCTTCGGCGCCTGGTCCGGAGTTCCAGAAGGACGGAGGATATGGGTTTCCTTCCTTTGTAAGCTCGATATCGATGACTTCGCTCTCTGAACGAAGGCCTTTTCCGATGCTCGCAATGCAGCTCAGCACAAGGTGTCCACGTAGACGGCCAAATTCATGAGCAGGACCGGTAACCTCTTCCCGTGCTGTCGTAGCTTCCTGAACGAAGAAGCCGAGAATTCTCTCTAGCGTTTGTACCTTTTCCTGGTCACTAGGCAAGCTCTGGATGATGGTCGCAATTCCTTCTAGGACCTTAGGCATGGTGGAGACAGTTGCCGTCGGCTTGCTTCTGAACTGGTCCAGTTGATCTAAGAATGCAGGAAGATCTGACGTCAAGACGCGAGCACACGACTTTGAAAGAGTCAATATAGACCTCGAAGCCGCGTGCGCACACAACTCGAAGTTGAGGGATTCGAACAGAATGTTCAGAACACCCGGAAGTAATGAACTGTGACGCTCAAAGTATGATTCGTACTTTCCGAATGAATCCACCAGGGTCTGACGAGCCTTGAGTGGTATTTCAGTCTCCCCGCCTGCGCAGAGCCTGGCAAAAGCATCGCTGCCAAAGATGGCGTCGAGACACTGGTCGGCGTGACCATTCTCATCCACTGCTTCTGAGAGCTGAGCTATGCAGAACATGGCAGTCTCGAAATTGCGCCAGTCCCGACTTTCCAGGCAGGAGGTGGCGCTTCTCTGGAAGACAGTGACCAAATCGACACCGAGGACGGGGTATGCTGAAAGTAAGTAATCACAGGCCTCATGACGGAAGGCGCCGAATTCACTCCGCTCTTCCTCGCCCCAATCTTCCAAGTCTTCGGACGTGGGATATAGTAGTTTGCTGGAAAGACCTAAGACAACTTCCGCTAGATGTGACTTTACCAAGTCATACCTAGAGCTGCCTTCTTCGAGTTGATCAGGGAGACTCTCTGCGATGTCGTTCCAGAACTCCAAAACACGTGGGGTTCCGAGATCGTCAATAGAGGCATAGCCAGGGGTTTTGAAAATCCCGTGGATCAGCGTGAGAATCGCTGCATTTTGTGGGGTCACGGGGTCGCTGAAGATATCTAAGTGCAAATGCGAGACATATGCAATCAAGAGGTCAACAAACGACATGCTCTCTGCTCCTTCATCGCCACCCCTCACGGCAGCAATGTGGACTGTTACGATTGAATCGGCAAGAATTTCAGAGATAAGCCACAATGAGTTGTCGTCAAATGCCCAGCGGCGGCTTTCAAAGGCTTGGGTCAAAATAGAAGCTGCACTTTCACTCAAGCTGGGTACCCTCAATGTGTCAATGACGGTCTGGCCGCATTGCACCGCCAAGACATTGACATCTTCAGCAGAAGAGCGTTGGCGATTCCCATGAACACCTAACCATGTCTGCAAGGTGGGAGTCAAATCAGCGATTGCGCTCTTCAAAACGGAAGTACCAGAAACCGAGATTAACTCACCTTCCATGAATTCATGGCTTCAGAGGCTAGTGCCACATCAACGGCATCATCCCCAGCTGCCTTTGCATGCTGTATGATCCCCCCAAGGACAAATTGAACCAGGAGCAAACCATCCTTAATGTTGTGTATGGCTCGCTGGATAGCGGAGGTGTCTCCAGTCCCACCCTGGGGTTCAGAGTCCAGCCGGAGAGCTTCCTCAGCAAGTGCAATTGAGAAAAACAGAAGTGCACCCGATCCACTCTTGCTCAACGCTGGCAGTATCCGCTCCTGGAAATCCACCGCTCGTGATTCTTCTTCGGATACGTATCCTCCGTGGACGAGGCTTGCAGCCAGCTGCCAAACAGCTTGTTTCCATGGTGTGACAGGGTGCCTGAAAATGGCAACCAAACTTGAGGCAAGCTTTCTCACAACCATTGCTTGTTCACCATTGGTTACCAAAGCAACAAAGCGATTGATCAGGTGCTGCATAATCTCTGTGGCCGAGTTTTGGTTGATTTCATTCCTAAAGGTACCGGATATCAGCAATCATTCGTCACATAAGGATGAGGACAAAGTGGTGCGGATCGGAGAGATTGACCGTACCATGAGACATTGATCCTCACTGTGAATGTAAGGGCCCCCATGAAACGATGCTGGGCAGAGTGTTCATTTTGCAAAAGTGAATCAGCAATTGCCCATGCATTCTCGGTCTTCTGAAGTTGCTGGAGGCGCGTCTGGATCTCATTAATTCTCGCGGGGTCCCGTTGGTTCGCTGGGTTATAGAGCTCGGTGACCAACTGGTTCTTTGTTAGCCGTTGGATCTCAGAGGTAGATATAGCACACATACAATATGGGCTTCCGAGATTGACTCTCTGGCCCCAAGGCCCTCGTCAGACATCCACGTTGCCATTTTTTTTTTAGCAAGCGCGTGGTTGTGAAAATGAAAAAGAGAAGTGTACATATACAAGCACGGGGGCTATGACGGGCAGAATCTAGTGTTTGCATCACTTAGCCAATCAGCATCAAGGCGGTTTCTACAGCGGTAACTGCGGGGCTCATCCTCTGGCTGCCAGGCACGTGACATCCTTTGCTCGAGCTATAGATATGTTGGAACTCCGGGGCTAGTAGCAGACTTGTACAATATCTTACATGTTACAAATAGAAAATTCATTCTCCAGTAATTATGTTTCTTGAGACAGGGATTCTAGAATGCCGAGAGGAAAAAAATATCTAGAAAGACACCCAAAAAGACGTCCAAAAACACATTACATATGATGTGTAACTAACTAGTTAACTAGTTCTCCCAATATTTATTGTTTTGACACATCCTCGACCTTTCTTTCACTTGACATCTGGAGATTTCTTTCATTTGCTGAGACTGGGATGTCAACTCTGCCTTTGTTTCTGGCTTTTGCTACTTGGTATTAATACTGCATTCTTCATAGTTCGCTCTATAAAGCAGCAAGCATTTTTGCTTCCAGGGTATCAAGTTTGGCCTAGGCCGTACAAAGAATTAGTATAATACCATTGTCAATGGCACTAAAACCCAGATAAGATCAACTTCCAAAAACAAGAAGAAAAATTGAAATGAACAATGTGATTGTATACAATTATCTTGAAAAGTGAGTAATGTAGTAAAGTTATTGAGTGCAAACATGACAACACAAAGTGGGCCGTGTGTAGCCGCGACTCCGGAGATCGCCCTATGACCAAAAGCCTCTCTGGTAAAAGGCCACTTACACGGAGTCCACACGACCTGCGGAATTGGCTTATCGTGCACTTATCTGACGCCTTCAATCCCTGCTTCGCTTAGCTTCTCGAGAGCTAACAGGTTGAGGAATCTCTTAAACTCTACTGTCCATGCTCCTCTCCCGTCCAATTCGCCTTTGGACATCTTTGCGATCGCTAAGGCCCGTCTCCCGTCCACGATACTTCTCCGTTTTCGGTCCACGCTACACAGTCGATATGGGGGCCGTGGATACCTCTGAACGCCTGTCAAAGCTGAGGCAGCTGATGCAGCAGCACAAGGTGGATGTTTACAGTATGACATCATATTTGTGTCCCACATGGGTTGTTTAAACCTCAAGTTGTGCTTACCAGCTTCGTATAGTTGTGCCCTCAGAAGATAGCCACCAGTCCGAGTACATTGCACCATGTGATGCCCGCCGAGGTCAACGATCGCCCCCCTTCCGTTGGTTTGCCCGCGCCAACAGCTAACATTTTCATAGAATTCATTTCGGGATTCTCTGGCTCCGCCGGTACTGCAATCATCTCCCTGAGCAAGGCTGCACTGTCCACCGATGGACGGTACTTCAACCAAGCCGCGAAACAATTGGATAACAACTGGCAGCTCCTGAAGGGTGGAGTCGAGGGTGTGCCCACATGGCAGGAATGGTACGAGATGACAGTTATGCGGTATGATCTGTACGGGGACTGATCTTGTTGATAGGACTACGGAGGAGGCCCAAGGAGGCAAGGCTGTGGGTGTTGACCCCTCTCTGATCACAGCGTGTGAGTGTTGTTACATCAGATGTGGAGGTGGATAGTGGCGCTAATCTTCAATAGCCGGTGCACGGAAGTTGGCAGAGACACTTAAAAAGAATGGTTCATCCCTCGTAGGGGTCCAGGAGAACTTGGTCGACTTGGTTTGGGGCAAGGAACGCCCCGCGCGTCCCAGCGAGAAAGTGCGCGTTCACCCCGAGAAGTATGCCGGCAAGGCGTTCCAAGAGAAGGTGGCCGAGCTGCGGAAAGAACTTGAGTCAAAGAAGAAGGCCGGATTCATCATCTGTATGATCGCCTCGCATATATCCCAGCCTTGCAGAGTAACTAATTTATTACAGCTATGCTCGATGAGATTGCTTGGCTATTCAACTTGAGAGGAACCGAGTAAGAACATTGTCTTTACCGTGATGCATCATTGGCAATTGACTGACTCTGAGCAGTATTCCCTACAACCCCGTGTTTTTCTCTTATGCCGTTATTACGCCCACCACCGCTGAGATCTACGTCGAGGATGACAAGTTGACACCAGAGGTCAAGGCTCACTTTGGGCAAGACGTTGTCGTCAAGCCTTACGAATCCATCTTTGCTGATGCTCAAGCCCTCAGCACCAAAAGCCAGTCTGCCGGTGAGAACGCCGCCAAGTTCTTGTTGTCGAACAAGGCTTCTTGGGCTCTCAGCCTTAGCCTTGGTGGCGAGGGACAGGTTGAAGAGACCCGTAGCCCAGTCGCGGATGCAAAGGCTGTTAAGAATGAAATAGAACTCGAAGGAATGCGGGCGTGCCATATCCGCGATGGTGCTGCCCTGACCGAGTACTTTGCTTGGCTTGAAAACGAGCTCGTCAACAAGAAGACTGTTTTGGATGAAGTCGATGGAGCTGACAAGTTGGAACAGATCCGCTCTAAGCATGATCTGTTCGCTGGTCTTTCCTTCGATACCATCTCGTCGACTGGGCCCAACGGTGCCGTCATTCACTATAGCCCCGAGAAGGGAAGCTGTGCTATCATCGACCCTAAGGCCATCTATCTCTGCGACTCTGGTTGTCAATACTTCGATGGAACGACCGATACCACGAGAACATTCCACTTCGGCGTTCCCACAGAGTTCGAGAAGCGTGCTTTCACCTTGGTGCTGAAGGGAACTATTGGAATCGACATGGCGGTGTTCCCCAAGGGCACCAGTGGCTTTGCGATTGACGTGTTGGCGCGTCAGCACTTGTGGAAGGAAGGCTTGGACTACCTTCACGGAACAGGTCATGGTGTTGGCTCCTATCTGGTGAGTATTATCGCTGATCATACATCTTACACTTTGCTAATCTCTGTTTAGAATGTCCACGAGGGTCCTATTGGCATCGGGACTCGGGTTCAGTACACCGAGGTCCCCATTGCGGCCGGAAACGTTATTTCGGACGGTTTGTCTCTCTCCCTCTATTTATTGCAGTCCGATACTAACTTCTGACATAGAACCCGGATACTACGAGGACGGCAAATTTGGTATTCGAATTGAGAGTAAGTTGTACCGCCTGTGACTGCAATTGGAAGAATACTAATCCTTCTCTTTATAGACATTGTCATGGCTCGCGAAGTTAAAACCGCCCACAACTTTGGTGACAAGCAGTGGCTAGGCTTTGAGCATGTTACGATGACTCCTATTGGCCGCAACCTGATTGAGCCGTCGCTTTTGAGCGACGCCGAGCTTAAGTGGGTAAATGACTACCACGCTGAGATCTGGGCGAAGACACAGCACTTCTTCCAGGAAGATGATCTGACACGCTCGTGGCTCGAGCGCGAGACCCAGCCCATTTCCAAATAAATGATCTGCGGCGTTGATGGGCCGTAGTTTGATATGACCACTCCCACTGCTATTGATTAGACGGCATTATGTAGAATACAGCCTAGCATATACACCATTTCAATGCTGTATCTAGACATGAATAATTAAGTGAATCAAATTACCAAATAGCTGCTAGCAAGAAATACAGCGACACAACGAACGGTGTAATCGAGATCTATGGTCTCCGTCGTAGACTTTCCGTTCATAGTAGACTGACAACTGGCCAGTGGAACGGAATGCGGGAAGCTCTGGTGGAGCCTGACACTCCGCCCCGGTCTGTTTCAACACTATCACCACGGCATCACTGAATTGATTCCAGCGCTCCCTGTATTTCACAGCTAAGAATGCTCGCAGATCCTCGCCAATTGTCGCGCGCAAGTCACAGGACCTAAGACGAACCTTTCTGGCTAACTGCCCCACGCCAGCCCCTTGTCACAGCCCACCAACGCTTCCATACTGAACCGGAACACCCCGTGATTAGCGGGCATAATTGGCAATGAGCGGCCAAAACGGTTATGACAACGGGTATGGCTACTCCGGTCCCGGCCGGTACGATGGCAATGAGGGGGGATACGGTGGAAACAGCAACCCTGGGGTAAATGGATACGGTGGACGAGGTGCCGCACCACCAGGCGGAGGTGGACGTTCAGATCGTCGTCCCGGCGGATACGGTGGCTTCTACCCCGACGCGCCTCCGCCGCCGGCTCTATCGCCAGGCCAATCTCCTGCGCCGAGCCAGTCGCCTGAGCGGCGGCGTGATCGACCGAACCGGGACTGGCAGCAACCCTCTCCGCAACCATCTTCGAACCCCTCTCCGCACCCCCCGTCGCATCCCTCATCGCATCCCTCATCGCAAGCCTCTTCCTATCCCTCTTCGCGATCGCGCACAAGGAACCAGGAACCTGACAGGAAGTACCAGGAAGAACGGTCAAGAGATGCAAGTCGGTACGCGGACAACAGGGACCAAAGAGATCAAAGGGAGCCGAGAGACGAAAGGGACCACAGAGACCAGAAAGAGCAAAGGGAACAGAGGGACCAAAGGAGCCAGAGGAATGCGTCGCCTGTGGTTAAGATGAACAATGACTCGGGGGAACCCCAGGCCATTGAAAGTATGTCTTTCGCTTTTGCATAGCCTGGGCCAATAGCTAATCCGGCTACCTTCTACAGCGATTCTCCAGTCTATCCAGCGCGACTGGGATTTCATGACTGATGCCGAGTGTATCCCGGTACACGTTGCTTTGAGTTTGATGGACACGAGTACATTGGGCAAAGCAGATCGTGAACCAGAATTTTTGCATATGTACAATGACATCCAGAAGACATTGAAGGCAATTGTCAATGGTAGGTCCTCTCTGCAGTGGTTGGGACAGGCATATGCTAAAATTGTTTGTCATAGAACACCATCAGGGATTCAACAGTTCTATTGGAACATACCACAAAATCCAATCCAATATATCTTCCTCGCAAACTCGAGTACGCAGCCTGAGACATGCCCTGGACCAGGCCAAATCCGGGTTAATATCGACCAAGCCCGAGTTGAAAGGGCTGGCAACGTCTTCTCAGAACTACGATGATATCGTACAGCTGTTCACTCAGATTGAGGAGATCCAATCCCTTCCCGAGAAACTGGAATCCCAGATTTCAGATAAGCGCTTCCTCGCAGCTGTGGATGTGCTTCACACTGGTCTCCGAGTTCTACGGCGTTCGGAGCTGGAGGACATCGGTGCTTTATCCGATATTCGCGCTTATTTCATAAACCAGGAAACGTCGCTCACAGACATCCTGATCGAGGAGTTGCACGACCATTTATACCTTAAATCACCCTATTGCTCAGACCGATGGAAAGGACCCACATCTGATGAAAAAGAGGTGCATACATCTAATTTGGCCGGTAGTCGCTCTTGGGAACGGCCTGTGTATAGTTTCCTGGCCAAGTTCGATCCGTTGACGCCTATGGTTGAAGACGCCTCTCGGAACCCGGAGGCCGACACGTTTTCCTACATTCAATTATTGATCGAGGCGCTAAACAAGATGGGACATCTTGACGTCGCAGTTCATAGAATTGAGCAGCGTCTTCCGGTCGAACTGTTTGCTGTGGTGGATAAGACGAACGCAGAGGTTGATACTCGCTATCCTGCGCCAACCAAGAGCTTCTCAGCCCAGGTCAACTACAAACAGTCCAGTCTCCCCACCGAGATTATTGAAAAACGGGGCCATGTGCTTTCTGAGTTTTTGTGGGCGCTATATGCCAAGTTTGAGGCAATTGCGGAAGGCCACCGAATTCTTCACGATGTTGTTGCGGCTATTGTGGAACGAGAAGGTCTGATTAAAAGCGAGACGCTTTCTGGAGGATTCAAGGAGTTATGGAAACTCCTACAAAGCGAGGTAAGACGCCAACGGCTTTGACCGTTATCGCGAATACTAATTTGTTTTGCCAGATACGATCACTCATGCACGACTATCTTGCGACCGATGGGGACTCTTCTGTTCGATCTAGGGCAGAGGAGAATGACTCTCGACGCCATCTATACACAGGCAACCGCGATAAGAATAAGGTAAGGAGACCAGTAATTATCGTCGCTTCCAGGTAACTGACTCTATGTTGTAGAAATTGTTCAAGTTGTCCGATATTGAGCAAAATTCCGAAATGAAAGCCGAACAAGACGAACTGGATGAGATCCTCAAGTCCTCAGTGCCGGGACTTGTTTCCAAGTCAAGGCAAAAAGCCGCAACAAATGATACCACGCAATCCAACAAGGGCAACTCAGGGACCGGGCATAAGATTTTGCTTGAACCAAGTGTCTTCAATATGGGAATCCTTCTTCCTCCCTCTCTATCCTTCATCCAGCGGCTCAAGGATATCGTTCCTGTTGATGCGGATATTTCTATGGGCACTTTGACCTCCTTTTTGGATGACTTCATGGTCAATGTCTTCCTGCCCCAGTTGGATGAGACAGTGACGGATCTCTGCACGCTCAGCTTCATTGCGGCAGATGCGTTTACAGAAGACCCCCATTGGTCTAAGTCCTCTCCTCGGCCTATTTTCAGAGGAACGGTCAAATTCATGTCCATTGTTCGGGAATTTAGCAAAATGCTGTCGAGTATTCCACACGATCAAGCATTCACGCAGCTTCTTATTGACCAGATCGTGACCTATTATGACAAGTGCTGTGGGTGGTACAAAGCAATGGTCACGAAAGTCTCTGCACGGAATCGTGGAGGCGAAGTCCGACTGAAAGCTGCGGCTTCCTTTGCTGATTCAGGCGACATCCATGATGTTGTCCATGAACTGTGGAAAGGTGCTGGGAACAAGAAACAGACCCTGATTGATACGGAAATCGATCTTCTTCTCAAGCGAACGGGGAAAGTGCCATTGGAGCCTTATGATATCATATCCGACCCGAAAACTGTCATTTCCCTTTCACTCTTGTACAACAGCATGCAATGGCTTGCAAGTCACCTCGCGAGAATTCGACTTGTGGTTGAGCATACCGCGGATGCCGAGTCATCCAGTTTGACTGCAACTGGCCGGCCGTCTCGCAGATGGACTCTGTTCGGGTCCATGAAGCCCAATCGCGATAGCATTAATAACCCGGTGCATTTGCCACTCAACCGCGAGACTGCCGTGGCCTTTGATGGGACGCTCCAATCATTACACCGGCTTGGGGATACAGCAATTCTGACGATGCATGTTGACATCCGCTGTGGCATCATTCACATGTTGACTAAAACAATGGCTGGGCCGAATCCTCCTAACTTGCGGAACTCTGAACCCGCCACTCCATCCCCAAACACAACAGACAACTGGTGGCACATTATCATGAATCAACCAACCGCTGCATCACCCACGATTCTCGCACTCAATAATGATCTCATCGCATTCGACACCAACATCTCGATGTATCTGGGATCTGTTGAGCGCTGGTTCATCACATCGGGCCTGGCACGGTTTATCGATCGGGTCTTTGTCGCCTGCACCCAGTATATCGGGGCCATGAATGAGAATGGAGCGTTGAGGCTACAGCTTGATGTGCTTGTTCTCCAACAGAACTTGAAGAACATCATCATCGATCCAGCTGGTGATTCGTCGGATTCGGCTACAGATTTACATGCGCAGGCTTCTCAAGAAATCGTCGCCCTACCGCGTAGCGCAAAGTTCCTGGACTGGTTCCTCGAAGGCGCCGAGAGAACCCTGGACTACGCTAAGGAAGAGAAGGAAGCTTTTGCGTCACAAGGCAACAAAGCCTTGGCCGCTGGAAACGGCGAACCATTTACCTACGAGGAGCTGCGTGTTCTTGTAGACCTGTGCTTCTCTGAAATTCTCCGCGGTCCACGCGGGGCGGAGAGCCGGGAGGACTTTATGTCGGCGAAAAAGGCCAGTGCGGATGCGCTACTAAGGCTGAACGAGATTATGTGGGATGCTCGGTAGTCCTGTTTATGTTGTAGTGTTTTTTTATTTGATTCGCTTGATCTGGCAAAATCCACTAATAGCCTAGACCAGAATCTCATTTCAACCTGACTCACAGTCATTTCCTCTTTAATTTAAACAATCTCCACTAGCCCTAACTCGGTCTAGCACAATGGGTTAAGTGCCCTTTTCGGCTTCTCCGGGGCATTCACACTGTTTGAGGATCCACGCCATGTTTCACTTTTTGCATGTAGTTCTTATTGTGAAATGATCAAATTACTAGGTCATAAAGCCATACGGAGTATGAGCATGGATCCTAAGGGCGCTTAGACTTATATCTCACCCATCCCGTCTTTTCTCTCTCTCTTCATACCTTCTTTTGCTTGCATTGCACTACTTGCTGTCTGGAACAGTAATTCTTTCGAATCTGGCATTCGTTATCCCAGACGTCCATTCTTTTGTGCACCTGCACGTCCTATCATTTTTAAAAGTCAATCTGTGACTTTCATACATTCATTCGATCTTCGATACCTTGTCTTACAAAAACCTTCATTCTTTACTTCGATCTACGCATCCAACAATGAAGTATCTTCGCCTAGCCTCCGTGGCCGCTCTTGTCAGCGCTGCTACTGTTTCCGCTGGCCCATTAGGCGCCCGCGAACATGACGGATACTGCCCGAAGGGCTACACCATGAGCGTCTACTACAAGACCATCACCGTGGAAACCCACCCATCTACGACCTCCGTAGAGTCTACAGTTACCCCGACATCTACTCCGGTTACTGTCGAGTCTCAACCCTCCGCTGAGCCCACAGTGGCCTCCTCATCGTCTACTGCCATTGCCGTGGTGTCTACTACTCCCGTTGCGGTTGTTCAGGTCGAGACTTCGACCTCGTCAGCCCCTGCTGTCGAGACTTCTGCTGCCGAGCCCGCAGTTGTCAAGACCGAACCAGTTGTGGCTGTTCTGCCCACTGCATCGGTTGAGACTGCCGCTGTCATCCAAACCATTCCTGCCCCAGTCGTGAAGACCGCCGCCGCGCAGACCTCCACCACTGAAGCTCCCGTCGAAGCTGCCACCACTTCCACCACTCAAGCTCCCGTCGAAGCCGCCAGCACTTCCACCAAATCTTCTACTACCTCCTCTGCCACCAAGTCTGCATCTATCAAAACAGCATCTACCGGTTCCACAAACGGAACCCCCGGCAAAGCCACCTTCTATGGCGGCAATGTCGCCGGCGGAACATGCTCGTTCTCCGGCTACACACTCCCAAGCCACCTCTTCGGCACGGCCCTCTCCCTCCAGCGCTGGGACGACGCAGCAAACTGCGGCGCCTGTGTATCCGTCACCGGACCAAAGGGTAACTCCATCAAAGCGATGGTAAGTCAAGCCCTCCCCCTCCCCTCCCTTCCCATTCCATCCCATCCCAAACCAATTCTAACCCAAATCAGGTCGTCGACCAATGCCCCGAATGCGAAAGCAACCACCTCGACCTCTTCCAAGATGCCTTCGCCGAGCTCTCAGACATCTCCGCCGGCATTATCCAGACCACCTGGTCGTATGTGTCGTGTGACCTGGACGGACCCCTGAAGCTCAAGAACAAGGAGGGTACATCTGCCTACTGGTTCTCGATGCAGGTTGTTAACGCCAACGAGGCTGTGACTGCCTTGGAGGTTAGCACTGATGGCGGTAGTTCGTGGAAGAGCACTACCCGCACTTACTACAACTTCTTTGAGAACACTGCTGGGTTCGGGACTAGCACTGTTGATGTGCGGATTACCGGTGCTAGTGGGAAGACTGTTGTTGTTAAGGATGTTGGGGTTAGCTCTGGCGCCGAGGTTACTGCTGGGTCGAACTTGTAAATTTGTCGTTGAGGGGAGGGATTGTATATTTATTTTCTTCTGTTGACTTTTTTATTGAGGTGGTTTGGTGAGGGTATTCCTGTGTTGGGGATTATCTAGTCCATTGCAACTGAACTGATACAAGAATAGTCGGCCGCTTATGCGGCCTTGTCAAGTCGTTTTTTAGTAGTCTTTTCAGATGTCTTTTTAAATGTCTTTTTTGGTGATACTGTCAGAGTCTTCTCAGTTATTCTTCTCAGTTAGTCTTTTTGGATGTCTAGATATGTCTAGATATTTTCTCTCCCTTCTCGGTTTGTTAAGGGGGAGCAGAAAAAAGCGGTAAGAGGCTTAATTCGTAAAACGGACTTTTCTATATGTAACCTTTGATATAGCAAGGTCGATCTACAAGGTCATTTTCTCTGAAACATATAGCTCGTTTGCTCTATACATATGTATCATAAATCCATACTCGTACTAGCTAGTAAAGGCTCAGCTGTATACTTCACAACCCAAATAGGGCCGGGCCATGATGCAACATGCTAATGAGTTTGTCCTCCGCTATGTCATGCTCTGCGCAAAATCTCATATCTGGCAGACAATTACTGCGTCGTAACTACAGAATCTTCCTCGATACTCTCCACATGCGGGTTTGAGTCCAGACTCTGAATCGCACCCTCAGGGAAAGTAACACTATGAATAATAACACCAAGAGTTAGCCATCTCACGCTGGACGAAGACCAATAGAATGTCGAAACAACTCACGAAAAGCCCTTGATCAATGAGTACTCGTGTCCAATCTCGCCGCCTTGCTCCTTAGCGTGGTCCTTGACGCTAAAAGTCATTCATGTATTAGTACTCCGTATAGTGTATTTTAGATATTAGGGTGAGATGCATACGCCTGAAACTCGGCGTCGGATGCCTCTGCTTTGCACGTGATCTAAGAGGGTTAACCAGATGTGTGTGCTCTGAATGTGTTGATTACTCACAATATAGGTAGGCATGTTGAGATGATAGAAATGTAGTGAGAGAATAAGAGAAAGTGGATGGGATTAAGTAGAAAAGAGGACCCGGTTGGATTCCCGCATTGACATCATAGAGGGGTAGCCTCATAAGCTGATCAGGGCTGTGTTATCTCCGCTAATCCGTGACTTGGTGGCTGATTATCGTATAGTATTGGCTTATTGGTTCTTATTAGTTTGAACTAAACTCCAATGACGCCTTATGTGGATGTACATAGAACTTGTAGCTCTCTTTCTAGGGCTGCCTACATGTAGGTAGTCAACTGTTCAATGATCCATGGATGCAACCCCACCGAGGTACACCTACAACCATCCTACCTCGAGTATCCTAAATATCCCATTAGTCTACGAGTTGTTTGGCATAGAATATTCCGCAACTCTACTTAACTGTATCCTTCATCGTCTTGTTCATGAAATCGCTCCGTGCACGAACTTCTTTTCCCAAACATCACTGTCGAGAGTGATAACACCAAGGAGATGGAGGTCCTAAATTGAAGCCCGAGGTGCCATACAGGCTCATATCGCCAGGGGTAAGAGAGCCGAGATATTTTCGTCTGTAGCGGCACCTCCCATCGCACTCCAAGTATACCGACTGTCAGGGCTATCTCTGCCACGACCTCACCCCGATGAAAGGGAGATATCCCAATCTACGCCATTTGCTTATGTTGTGACTTAGTGAAACTCGACACACGCCAGAATACACAACTACGACACGATTCCTACAAGGGCGAGTCTAGGAAGAAATGTAATAAAGCAGTTTGAAAAAAAGGACTTATCAACCCGCAGCTCCATTCAAAGGCAAACCCATCCCAGCCGTAGATTCGCCAGCCCACAATCCATTAATGATGAAAGGAAAAAAAAGAAACAAAAAAAGGGAACAAGAACAAAGAATAAAGCCCGAGTAGCGGACAAAGACCGCAAATGTGTGTGAGCAGAGAATGATCAAAGGGGTAAGCAACAACAGAGAAAATTGCGCAGACAAGTCGCAAGGGTAGTTAATGGGAAATGTAACACTCAGAATACCAGGGACAAACTGCATTGCGAGGAAACGGGGGTAATGAGAAGTTCATAGTGAGGTTACATCGATTGGAGGAAACATCCATGGTAGTAAGAGAAAAGATCTGTCAGCAGCAGAATAGCAGATTTGAAAAATAGAGAGATCAGGGTATGTTCAAGTCTTGACCTCCGGAAACGCAACAAGTCGTAGCACATGCAGAAGAATAAGGATAATAAGCCTAATCCATCTCCAGTGACTCTAGGTCTTTTGACTCCTCGTAATCATCAAAGTCCAGGCCGGCATCCCGGCAACGTGTCAGCCACTTCAGGGCAATGTTGTTGCGTCGGGCGACCTCGCCTTTGAGCTTGGAGTTCGAGCCGCTGATCTCGGCGATAGCATGATTAGCAGTCAGACTGTGCTTCTCAAATTGCTCGTCGATGTTCTTCTTTTCTTCCTGGAGCTGCAGGATATATTCAATAGCACGTTGAAGGATTGCGCCCTTGTTCTTATCGCAGTTCGGCACAAGACGAGCAATCTGGTTGATACCTTCATTAATAGCTTCGCGGCGGCGACGTTCAACTAGGGGAATAGATCAGTATGCAAACACGAACTCGATCAGAAAAGTAGTTCTTACCTTCTTTGTGATTGTTCTTGCGAATTTGGTGCCATTCGGGAGAACCAACGGTAGGCTTCTGGTTCATACTCTGAGCCTCACGCGCGGCATAGACCGCAGCAGCAGTCGAGTTGTGGTTGTGACCACCACCCATAGGAGTCTGGTTCATCTCATCGCCAAAGGACAACCCTTGGGTGAGGTTGCTCGCATCGAAGCCGGAATCGGGAGGAGGGGGGTACTTGTGTTGAGGAGTGTGTGCAGCCAAGGCGGCTTTGGCGTTGGCGGTCAACGCGTTATCGTCAGACAAGCCATTCTGCGGACCAACATGTTGAAGGATTTGTTGATCAATGTTGAGTTCGGCCCCAGTGTTGGGAAGCCCGTGGTCGTAGTTTCCGAGCCCTCCGTGACCGAAGTTGTGTTGGTTATCCATGCTGCCGTTGCTTCCGTGGGAAGAGCGGTTAAGACGCTGCGGGTCGGGTCCTAGATCTTCAGAGCCGTCTCTCTTGCGCTTATGCGAACCATTATCCGGGCTGTTCATGGTGGGATCAGACATGTTAAGCCCTAAAGCTGATCGTCCTATTCGTGGTAGTGGTTAGTGGCCAGTAAGTGAAAAGTGAAGTGAAATAAGTCTCGGAGAATAAGAGAATAAGAGAACGATGTGATTGGAGACGTCAATGGCAGCCTGCAGTAAGTTGGTACCTGGCAGATCAAGTCCCTCTCGGGAAGATCAGTGGGCACCCCGCGAAGTAAACAGACGCGTGGACCCGACGCGCTTGTACGGCATCCCAGGGAGGCCGGTCACGTCGGACTTTGCCATCGCCAGTGAATTTTTCTGGCAGGCGGCAGTGCATGGGGATGGTTCTACAGGGCAGTGACGTTGTCAAGCGATCGCATATATTGCGATGCCTCGAAACATCCGCGGGGTTGCAGATATCAAGAACGCGTCATGATGGGCTTGCAGACAGCGGACGTCACACAGGGGGACAGCGTCGTGAAGGACACCACTTGCGATGAGTATCACGACGCGAGTTGCAATGACATGGGGGGATCTGGATGAAGATGGGGTATTGATGGAGCCGTACCTTCGGATGATCTCTCTTTATCACCTGACAGGAAGTCACCTGCCCGACAACAACAAGACGCAGGTCACGTTGTCTGCGAAACCCCGAATTCGAAATTGGGACGCGAAAATGGGAAAGTTGAAAATTTGAGGAAGCCGATATCAAGATATGCAAACGACTTAGCAATCTACCTTGCGGTAAATTTAGAAATAAGAAAAGGTGTTTCTTTAGGAAGATGTAGAGCAGCGGACAAGTTCAAGATGGATTGCTCACGTGGCAAGGAGGTGGTCAAGAGGAGGAGTCGCGCTGAATCCGGTGGATCAGAACGACCAATAGTGTAATAAATCACCTGATATCCCTATTCAAAAAAAATACACTGACGTAAGCATGCCGCATACCGCAAATGAGCCACCGAAAAGCCCTGGAGGTCTAGACAATTTTGCAAACACAACCAAAAAGAAACTGACAACAAGAGCTGAAGATAACCAACTAAAATGCTTGAATAGCCCCGGGGATTCTACGCCTCCATCTCTCATCGAAAGTCATGTGCAGCCATCCCGTGCCCCTCCGCTGCACACCTCCTTTCTTGTTCTCTGATTGGCTGCCGGCTCTCGGAGGGGGGATTCCAAAGATCACGTGTACATGTATCTTATGGACCAATCACAGGTGGTATTCATCCACGACGAGGGGGATCAGACCGTCGGATACAAAGAACTTCATAAATCCACACTATTAGCAAGTATATGGGCGTAGTCTAGACACACTAGAAGGCTACTAACTACAATTAATATGCCCGGAATTGACCCGAAGTGACTGTCCGTCCTAGTTTCCCTGCAAGTGATCAGGCTAGATCCACTAGTGTATAGACTACCCCCTTCAACTGAATCAGGAAACACAACAAGGGAATATCCCAGGACAGTGGTAGCAATGGGAAACAAAGTCGTGCATCATGTACTGGGTGTACTGGTCGAGATCGTGATATAACACGAGTTCTTTTTACAATGCACCCAACTTACAGGATACATCGTTTCTAGTTCTCATCGGTTTACCTCTGATCCCTCATCGGGGTGGGGGAGAGGAGAATCACATGTTTCAGACTAAGCATCTTGAAATAGAATTCCCCTAGCCCTTCACACCATCATGTCTCTAAAGGGTTGCATCGAATATCTAAAAGTCTTCCCTAGTACTTTACCTGCATATTGATGAACGTGAAAACTGAGTGATCATGAGACATCAGAATCCCACCTCGATGCGATATTAAGCTAAGTATCTGAGGTTTCCGCCTGAAGATTGCGACGATCTCGATGATCTTCTTCTATATGTCATCCCGTTTGAGTCCCCTATCACATGGATCACCTCCACATGATGAGCCTGTGGCAATCGGTGGAGTTTCCATTCTTGCAGGGATGATCGCCATAACACTGAGCAATATACACCGTTTAGTGTATATTCTGGGATTGGGAGGTATCACAGAAACTCGGGTGATCGAAATGCCATTTCTAATGTCATGTCGCAAGGGTGGACCCTCAATCTGTTCATAGACTCTGCATTATCTGTGGAATAGTCTGACGCGTCCAGTGCGCTCCCTCACTCAGATGCCTTTTTCAGTGCAAATACCATTTGTGGATCTGCCGTAGTATCCGCGAAACAAATACCTTCCTCCGCGGCGCCTAGCATGTCCCAGCAAAGTATCTTGACGTCGAATGGGGTGCCCGCATCCTCTGTCTCACTTTCCTCATCAGGGGCGTGCACACCTGACCCTGCATCTTTATCCCCAGCATTGAGAGTGGGCCGTTGCGTCACGGCGATGATAGCGCTTGTCCCCGCATATAGCGCCGGTGGCTTGGTATCCCCTGTCGGTGGCTCCTCGCCCGACCGATTAGAAAAGACGATGACGATCTTCTTCGGAGAATCTGCCGCCTTTCCGCCATCAAGATCCGCCTCATGTTCCATCCTCTTCTGCAACAGGGGCCAGAACCGCTGAAGCCAATAGTTGAAAGTATCCATCTCGGGCTTATCCTTCAAGGCATCGATCTCTTCCCGGCTTAGACTGGTCAACCAGGCCATAGACAGAATGACAAGCTGGGACTTAGAGTCAAGAACTCGAGTTGCAAATTCCCACTTGGTGAATGGCGCCTCAAACTTGTACGGATTGATATCCATGCAGATACCAAGAGAAGTCGCGACCCGCTTCTTCTCGGATAAAACCTGCTCACCCTGTTGCACCGGGTTTGTCAAGGAAGATAGCGTGCCTTGGGAAGCGAATTCAAGCTCATGGAACCCTCGCTCAATCTGACCTTCAGCGGCCCAGGTTTCGTCGGTGTAATACAAGAAGCTTTTGCGGTAGTTGAGGATGAACTCCCCGTTCTCGTCGACAACAAGAAGTGAGTTATAGTATGTGACTTTGTCGGGATTTTGGGAATCCTTCTCAATCTCCGGATACCCCACGCAGACCTTGCATCGCAGGCGTTTGGCAGTTTCGCGCGCCCACGACGCAGAGGGGCCGTCACCAGCTGGCTCGAGATATGGCTTGATTGCTTCCAAAGAAGGGAAGTTATAGCCTAGGTATTCATTAGCCAGTGAAGATTTAAATTATGTTAGAGACTGGGGGTAGACGGGGTTCATGCTGCTCAATATACGCCCGTGGACAGTTTGTTGGGCAGGTACGTACCCGTCATCGCCATCTCAGGCAGCACCAAGATATCCGGCTTCAACAGATCGACGCCGACCCCGAGATCCTTTCCATCTACAGAAACGGTCTTGCCAGTCTTCAATAGAGCATTTGCTTTCTCAATATTGTTTTTGAGATCGCCCAGTTTCGGCGCGAATTGAAGGGTTGCAATCCTCATCTTGTGAGACAGCGAAGTTGAGAAGTTACTGAAGTTAAGAAGTGACAAGTGTTGTGTAATAGGAATTTTCTTAGTGAATCGTGAAAGAGATGCGTTTGAGGTCAATGGTGTTCTCGACGTGGTCGAGGTATGAAGTTCGTGTCTTCTGGTCCCAACGCGGACACAGTGGGGCAGGATTTTTGCCAGAATGATGGCGGGCCGGTCGGAATCCTTGGACTATATCCCAATATACCCAAGATGATTATTTATATACTGTGGTTTTCGAGTCCAAGTCAGGAGCAATTACTTCTGAGTATTGTTGTAGTTTGTTTGGACGGAAGGGCGATACTTTCGGCGGGTCATATGAAAGTTGATGCCTCAGGGGTAAATATCCCTCGGTTTCTAGATTTACCAGAACAAGCATTGTAATGTTCACAGATTTCAACTGAATTTTTCAAGGCTACAGGGTAAATTTGTAGACAATAGAGCTATATAAACTATGAAAAGCATCAAGAGCACGACAAATAGCCGACCGATGCACTTATCTATATCGTACACATTGAACTATGATTGGTACAATTCTGTATATACTTGATGTTGAGAATGTATAATGAACTTACTTTGGTCCTTGCTGGATCCTGAGGGGACTCGTCTTCCGATGATGCATTCATATTGTCTCTTTGATATATGGCCATTTAGCATTGGCCCTTTATAGTTTTATGCCTTTCGCTGTAAACTACATACCCATACATTTGACACACTTTTGAAACTTCCCATTCTCAACTGCTGTATTTAACGCCAGTTTATGCAGCGAACTGTGCATCGATCCTTATTTGACTATTATTACATGGATTTTGAGTGTTCAGCAGAGGGGAAATGCCTTTAGCTCCGCTCGCAATCAGGTAATGCCCATTTGACCATCCAATCCGACATTAGCACCTCTTCAACAGTCGGTCGCTCTTCTGGCCGGAATGACAGCATCCGGCGCATCAAATCCAGAAACGCAACTTTCTCTTCTTCCTCAATCTCGCCTCCCATCTTCCGTCTCCATTCCTGCACACCGATCTCAAATGATTTCTCAAGAGGAGGCCATTTATTTTCCCTGTAGGACTCCGTTGGATGGCCATGCTCATCGAAGAACCGAGATCGTGATTCCCAGCGCTGCCACCATTCCGATGGCATAGGTCCTAGTACATCAATATGCTGAGCCGCTATTTGATCCTCATCCACAAAATCGGTGCCAAAGATGGCCTTCATTCCGATAATCTCCCAGATTGCCGTAGCCAGACTCCAGATATCTGAGGGATATGCGAGCGGGACTTGCGATTCGAACTTGGCTTCTGGAGCCCGAAACGCGTTGGGCGTATGGCAGTCTTGCCCAAGACGAGTTTCCGAAGCGGGGGAAAACGCCTCGCCAAAGTCAGTTAAAAGTGGGTGCGCGTCGGATAATGCGTACTTCTCCGCATATTTCCCTATGAATAGCGGTACAACAGCTTTGGGTGGGGCGTTAGGGGGTAATGGTTCTCCGTCACGTCGTGTGATAGGGACTGTCTCGGGTTCGCCGAATCTTTCATAGAATTGCTTGATAGAAAGCTCATCGAAACCTAACGGCAGCTTGAACAAAATGTTATTTAGATGAATATCTAAATTCACCAGATATTATATTAGCTAAACAGTATCTAAATAGATAGTAATGGTTGTAACAAACCTCCATGGACATAGCCTTGTGAATGTGTATAAGCAACGGCCTGTGCGAGTCGATATGATAGTGATCGAGCAACCTCGAGGGGGAAAAGACAGCTAAATGAGGCCTCTCTAAGGTTGCATTGTGCAGGGGCCACCGTGTAGCATGTATGTTTTCCATTAGGACCTTGCACTTCGAATTCATCTAGGAAAACAGGTACTGAACCACGCCCAGGATGTTTTAGTGAAGACGACGGAGCCGGAGCAGACAAAGCCTTGAGAATTTTCGTCTCGCACTGAATCGAGTTGGCTATGCTGACCTTGAGAGTAACATATCGGTTCATATGAGTATCTCGGGCAAGCCAAACCGTTGAATAGGCCCCAAAGCCAAGTTTGTCTGCAATGAGATAACGGCCATGTAACACGTCACCCAACATGATGGGATGATACCCTCCAGGCTGGTATAACTCAAGTGTCTCCACACCCTGGATCCAGTTATACTTGACGTGATGGTTCTCGGCCCGAGTGGTGCACGACCGCATGAAAGACACCGAGTCGAGCTTTTGACGCCAAAGGGGTTGGAAACCTGAAATTGACGATCGAGATAAGATCGAAAGGTGGACAGGGTGCGCGATCACTCTGAAGGAGCGTGCCATGATATGTTGGCGTGATTGTTCGAAGAAATAGCCACGAAGCGCCCTTGGAAGGGAACTGTGAACTTTGGATGCAGCCCAAGCCGACTGGGATAAATCAATCGCGTGATTGACTTGCTACTAAGAGGTAATCCCAAGATCTTTGCAGGCCTAGTAGCGTTCTCATATAGCAGGATATACATTGTTACGCATCGATGTAGCGGCATGCTGCACAACGGGTGTTACTGGTTGAGCATCCCAATTCACCGCCTTGCTCTCCGCCTCTTCCCTATTTCTTCTTGTTTTCTTCCTGCTATTCTATGTTAAAATCCAATATAAGTGTATAGGGGAAGTTCAAAAAGGCCCGTGTGAGGTTAGCGGCGATTGATAGGCGTCTACTTGATATATGTACCTAGTGAAGGATATGTGCCTTTTCGATGGTATCGTTGCTTGCAATCTCAGACTAGCTGTCTGATCTATAGAAAAACAGTGATGGAAATATGACGACAAAGGAGTAGTGTTTGTCACAGTGATATGATGTTTATTTAAGTGTACGTGGAGTCACGGTCATCCAAAAACCTAGCATAAGATTTCTAGTCCAAGGTCACAGGAAAGCACTTAATTATATCGGGTTACATAGAGAGGTTGTATTCTTATCATCTATCAAACAGACCACACAAATGTTGGGCGAAAACAGCAGTAAAGAAAGAGTCAGAAAAGTAGTGATCAGAAGAATAACATATATCTTTTGATTTGGAGGGGGATAGGCTAAGAATATAGTAAGTCCAAGGCACCCATGGACTGCAACATCAAATGACAACCTTGATAGGCCGTCTCCGTTCATCATCTCGCAAGCCTCCAACAATGGCTGAATTCACAAGTAAACATTTTGCCTCCACACTCGGATTGAACCATGTCTTGACAAACTCGTGAATTGTAAACAGAAGATTCCATATCCCCCCTCTAGCAATCACAGTGCGCTCGTACGCCTCCTGGAGCGCATCGAATAAGATCCATTCGGTGCCTGCACCCGCGTGGACATGTCCAAACACATGTAGCCTAGGTCTGGCCCTCCATAACTCTCGTAATAGAGGAGCACAGCCCAGATGTAAAGAGTCAAGATGACCACGTGGCGGACCATGAGTAATTAGCACATCAATCCCGTCAGGCACCGATCCAGCCCATACGTCTTGATTGCGAGGATACTGAAAGGCCCAGTTACCATTGCGTGTAGTAAGAGGGCTTCCGTAGATCTTAAGATGGCGACCATTTGCGCAGGAAATGGTAATCTCTTCATTTTCTAGATATATGATTTCACCCCATTCAAGCTGGGACCGCTCAGTGATAGCTTTATCCGAGTTATCGCGCGCTGCATCTAGTAGTAAATCGTGGTTTCCGGCGACAACTATTTTGGTGGGATGGGACTGGGCGCGTAACCAGGTGAGTGTTGCTTGGAGTTCCTTTAATGAGCCTGACTGTGTGAGATCACCAGCATGGATGAGAATGTCTCCATCGGGAAGGTTGGGTTGGCTGTTATGCGTATCGGAGACGCAGATGATAGAAACAGGATTTGTGAGTGGTTTTGCGGGGATGGGTTGATGCCAAGTGTAAAGCTTCCGCGCATGGAATATGCAAGGCTGGGCCAGGAATTGTTCCCATAGTGTGGGGGGTTGTCGATTGAGGAGGTCACTGAGGCTGGACATTATTGAAGATGAAGACTTGGGAGGTAGTTGCAATGAGAGCATAACCTTGAACTTTGGAACAGATGTTTAATTATGTGATATTTGCCTTAGGCAGGCAATCAAGACCTCTGTTCAAAGCCTTTTAGTTTTTCCTGTCTACTTTTCGCATATCATTGGTATTCGTAGGTAGTTTAGTATATAGTTTAGTGTAAGAGTCTGCCCGTCTCATCATCTTATCTATATCGGATCTCGAAAAGATCCATGAAATGATCCTCCCACAATAGCCCCAACGTTCAGCTCATATGCCATGGGCGTCTGCTGCTTCGCCGTCTAGCTGATCACTTTTATCTTTATATCTACTACACGGTCAACTTCAGACCAATCCTAGGTTTCATTTGCTTGCTATATACATCTGCCAAACAGCGAAATTGGCTAATCAAAGACAAAGACCCAGTCAACGATTTTCAGACCAAGTGCCCAAAAAGTCACTCAGGGTCTCGAAAAATTAGCCCATTTTGTATGGCGTTTTGTCGTGCACAGACCATTCCCATACAAAAATTGTCCCCCGGAGCAATTTCTAGCCACTTGTACTGTTGTATGAACTTTTACCACCCAAATGGGGTCGGTGGGTATGTGTAGAGACGTAGAATAACGGTGAAAAATATAGTTCCCACAGGACACTTTTCAAGATCTAATATGCGACATTTGGGGTATCACGATAGATAGATGTTGTTATCATTATCGATGTGCCGTTATATTCCGCCGTGACTGGATGCCTCTTTTAGGTTGTATATAAATAGTAAAAGAAAGTAATTGAAAGGAATGAATAAATTTCCGCTGCGAATGTTCATTGGGAAAAAAGATATCATTACAAACGACTCCGCAAAATGCAAACATGAGATGAGCCTAGAGAGTAAGCGGGTACTCAGATCCATGGCCCATATGAGAGGAGAATAAATCAGTGTGAGATACACCATGGGATAGATAATCACAATATGGGGAATAAGAAAAGCGTAGTGCATGTCCTTAAACACCCTAGGAAGACACGACTTTCTCCTTCTCGTCCTTCTTGTCCTTGTCGTTATTCTCCTTCCTTCCGTTCTGGCTCTTAGCCATCTCCTCCTTCTCTCGCTTATGACGCTCGAAATCCAGGGGCACATGTGCGAGTCCACGAGCTCCAGTGCGTCGGATGCGCTGTTCGGTGCGGGACATAGGTCGGTCCGGGGTATCAGGAGCGTAAGCGACCTCGTATCCTCTGGCAGTGCGATTGAGTGTCAGACGCGGGGGTAAATATGAAATTGGTTGGGGGATTTTTCGGGCGTGATACTTTTCCAGGATTCGCGCAACGGGGTTCCAGTTTGGGTCGTGCCATGGCTCTCGGATGTTTCCAGTCCAACCGTCGAAGATGCCAGGGCCCGTCCTTAACTTCTCGGCCAAGATTCGTGCCCGGGAGAGGGCAATCTCGTCCTCGTCGACTTGGCGAGCCCGTTTCAGTCGAGCTTCCTCAATGTACTGGAGTTGTTCTTCGGTAAGAGGCTTCGGCTCGCACAAGGCCTTGGCTCGTGCAAGCTTTTCTTCCAGTTTTTCCAAGATCGGGAGCTTCGGAACAGGCCGGTTTTCGGCCTTGTAGACGGAGAAATTGAAAGGAACATATTCATCCTCTGTAGAAACCTTAGGCACCTTAGTACTCGGGCCCTGTTCCTCCGGCTGCGGCTCGGTCTGCTCATCCAGAACTCGCTTCTTTTGGAGGACTTTAGACTTCTTGCGCACCGAAGACACTTGCGACTCCTGTGACAGAGGCTGTTCCTTTTCGTTTGCCTCTTCGAAGTGGACAGACCGTTTGAATAATTCACTAGACGCTGCAGCAGGAGCTTTTCCTTTCAGCGAGGAGCGCCTCTTGTGCTGATGGGGTACAGTTACATCGGTGGCCTCATGCTGTCGTTTCAATGACCCTTGCTGTCCTAGCGCCACTGAGGTTTCTGGGTTTTGGAACAAGGGTGTTGGCGGCTGAGTAATCGCCGTTTCAGATGAGTATGTACTCGATGTGGCATCAAATATTTTAGGCTGCCGAAGTGCTTCGAAGAGAGTCCGGGGAGGTGGAGAGGCGGTCGCTTGAGTGTGCGAGACAGACCGACGCGCGCCTGAAATCGAAGCGGAGCCGTTGATAGGAGGTTGGCCAGGTATTTGGGTCTGTGCAGGTGCGGACTGGCTGAACACTGAAGTTTCACTCGGCTTGGGCGACTGTAAATTACCCAAAGACGGAGACAAACCCAGTGGTGGGTTCTCGGGCATGGGCGCAGTAGTTGCTGGGATGTCCGCTTTCTGGCTTGGCTGCGGTGCCTTGGGAACTGCAAAGACTGAGCCGGGGACTGGAAATTGACCTGCAGCCGCGTTCAAAGACTCTGAAATGGTACTAGGATTGTTCACTGAGAACGGCGAAAAGGGCTGCCCGAAACCTGGGGCAGTTGCATGTTCCTTGGCTTTCACAGCTGTCTCTGGGGCTTTGAGGGCTTGGAAGGGAGATGGAGCAGCAGTGTTTCCAAGACCCACAGCTGGGAAAGATGGTGGAGCGTTCGGAAGCGCAAAAGGATTGTTCGATGCAATCGTTGATTGCTGGGGTTTGGCATCGCTCTTGAGCGTCGTAGACTGAGCAGAGATATTTGTGGTACCAAAGGGGTTAGCACCAGAGAATGTCGAAGGCGCGAAGGGGTTCCTGGGTTCAGCCACCGGAGCGGGGGGCGAGTTGCTGGGCGTGAACAGCGTGGAGGGCGCGGCAGTAGTTGTCACCGGTGCCTCCAGTTTTTGAGTTGGCTCCGATGGCTTGGAGAAGGAGAATGGGGACGGCGCAGTGAAAGCGCCAGCACCAGAAGAGAATACAGAGGCGGGTTTGTCCACGGTCGACGCCTCATGAGGCGAGGTGCTCGGCTTAAAAAGCGTAGACTGGGCAGGGGTAGTTGCCGCGGGAGTCTCTGGCTTTGGGGTTGACTCCGATGGTTTAGAGAAGGAGAATGGAGACGGCGCAGTGAAAGGGCTCGAGCCAGAGGATAGCACAGAGCCGGAGCCATTCGGCAACACGGAGGCGGGTTTGTCTGCAGTCGACGATGCAGGAGGGAAGATACTGGGCTTTGAAAACGCAGGCGCGGGGGTTGTTGTTGCAGGTGTTTCCGTCTTGGGTTTTGCGTACGCTGGCTTTGAGAATATGGACGAAGAAGAAGAAGAAGTAGATGCAAAAGGGGACGGTGAGGGCCCGGCAGGGCTAATAGATGAAACAGCCGGCTTGTCGGCGGTGTCAGGCTGAGAAGGAGGGGGTTTCGTTTGGAAGGGCGAGGGTGCCACGTTAGTGGTCAGGGCAGAGGTGTCAGTCTTTTCGGGTTCTTGGGGGAACGAGAATGGATTTGGCGAAGAAGTGAAAGGAGACGACGCTGCGGGCGTGACAGTGGTGGAGGGGATCGAAGTTGCGAATGGATTCGATGGAGAAGATGCCATTTTAGATGGCTGAAAGGCCGCCGCGAAGGGATTTGGCGCCTTTGAAGCGGCGGGTGGTAGATTTGACTGGAACAGGGAAGGCGAACTTGCAGGAGTGGATTGTAAAGATTTCTGAGATTCAGAAGCGATCCGGAATTCAGAAGCAGTCGTGTCCTGAAGAAGGGTGTTGTGTGTATCAACCACAGGTGCGGGTGTCTGATTATCAACATCACTCACGAAGAGATCCCCATCTTCAGCTTCAGCCTCAGGCAGGGTTTCACTCTTTTGAGGCAACTGGGAGCGATCAATCATGCCCATTCTTGCGGCTTCTCTGATGTTCATGCCGAGAATGATGGCAACAAGACTACGTCCTGCGCGCTTTGACTCCACGTAAGTTTCAGAGAAAGAGTGGTCAGATGAAGGTGCAAAGTCTGGGAAATTATTAGCCAGAAATCAAAGAAATGGGAAGAAATGGGATGGAAGGTATAATGAAGGGGGCGACGGGAAGTGGTGAGGTGGGAAATGAAGGGAAACGAGATTCGGTTGAGGTGAAGTTGTTTAAAATCACTTACCAACAGAGTCTACTGGTCGATCACCCCAATTGAGATACAGTCCACCACTCGCGTTCTCCGCAAACTGTAAGCCCTGCGCATTACAGTATTCAATTGTCTGCTCGTCGTCATCAAAGTGCAACACCTTAGTTAATTCCTCCACAGTCCAATGATCGTTTTTGGATTGCTGTGACAGCGGAGTCCGGCAGTAAGCTTTCCAGATTGCACGGATTGCTGTCTGACGAATATGGTTGAAGTACACCTCGGCTACACAGGCCATCAGATACGACACGCTCGGGGAATTGATGATGTTGAAGAAGCGAGCGTAGAATCCCTGAGCAACTGCGTTCGGTCGACGAGAATCCAGAGCGCCTTGTGGCTCCCATGTATTACAGGCAGCGGCGAAGAGGTCCAATGCCACCTGCACTCGAGGTGAAGCAAGTAGGGCAGTTGGCCATTTCTGGACACGAGCCTCCAGGTCAGGCCGCTGGTCATGGATCGAAAACAAGATGTGGTAGGCGCGGAACTCGTCCTCGTTGGGGAAGTGAATGCGTCCGCGGTTGTCATCGTAGTAGTACATGAGAGAGAGCATGGTGTTGTTTAGCTGCTCACGCTCCTGGTGACGGTCGAATTGCTCCGTGTTCGCCGGGTTAGAAAGAAGATGCAGGGACACGATATGGAACCGTGCAATCCTTTCTAGACAAAGGACCGCTCTCTTCACATCTTCTTCTTGTGTAAGTTGCTGCACCGAGAAGTCGTTTCGGATTGATCGTGTCCGATTCCAGACAAACATGTGGATGACGGCCAACGGTTCACCACCATTGATAACATAACGAATGAGATAGTTCATGGTTTGTAAAAGTGTCTTTGGTGTCCGGATATCCGAGGGCAATTGCTCGTCATTTCCAGCTGCGGCACGCCGGAAGCGTTTCACCATCTTGGTTTCCATGATTTCCAGCTGGTTCGTTGACGGGTTATAATACTAAAGTTGCGTGTCAGCGTGGCGCCAAAAAGAGCAACCGGCGAACTATTACCTTTTCACACTTGTCGACTGCTTTCTGCACGATCCGTTCCACCCTCTCGAAATCGGGACACATGCCAGTGCAGGTACCCACAGGTGTGATAGCCTGGTTCAAAGAAGTTGGCTGGTTCGGGTCCGCCATTTGCCCATCCTTGATCGCCCGTTCGCGCTGTCTCACTTGATCAATTTTCAGCTACAAATTTGGTTAGCTCCGTGGTCGTATTGTCCGTTTTCGAAAAAGGGCAGACTGACTTTGTCAAAGCGTTCCTGGTAATTGCTCAACGTCGATGCATGCTCCATGGAGGCGGCAACATTAGATCCCCCGCCAACAAATTTCGCCGAGGCTTGTTGTTTCATGATGTTCGTAGGTTGGGCGAATGGATTTTTGGCGACGTTCGAAGCCGAAGCACTGTTTGAGACTCTGGAAAACGGAGACTGCTGAGCGGGCTGAGCGCCGAACGGCGATGCGACAGAATTTTGTTGACTTGATTGCGCAAATGGCGAGTTGACAACACCAGGCTTAGGGCCCTCTGTGGGTTGTTGGGATCCATTCGCGGACTGGCCTGCAGCGCCTGCGCCGCGACCACGGCCACGAGCTGTCCATGTCGCCGACCCTCGTCCACGTCCTCGAGCCCGTGCTGCGCGAGGCGCACTTGCTCCTCTTGGCACATATGTTGATGTATGTCCACCTCCTCCCCGTCCCGTTGAGCCTTGCACGCCCGGCGCGCCTCCTCTGTGGCCGCGGCCTACAGAAGGATTAAACGGGCTAGCCATCCTGCCCGCAAAAAGCGGAATACACTGGATAGGCCGCCGCCTCTTGGAACGCCCCCGCCGCTCGCTCTATCGTCAATTTGGTTTCCGATTTTTGAGGTGATTCCGATATGCGATGGACGGCAAATTCGATTGTGCAGGGTCTGAAAAGTTGTTTGCTGTTTGCTGGAGTTAGTGCGCCGAGGCGACAACAAAGAAGTCAGCCCATATTACAAAGCCGCAAAGGGGTGACCACAATAGCCCAATACTGCACGGGGAAGACATCGGATGGATACAAAGAAAGGCCGGAGGCCAAAGCTGAGGGCTTCAACGGACTCGAGGAGAGGTATTCGCGCTACTTATCAGTACACTCACAGGTATTTTCTCGTTGGGAAGACGTACAAGCGACCTTACGGACGTGTCGCCTTCAGTATTTGCGATTGATTGGGATTGTTCAGCTCGTGAAGCGTGCGCGTCGGAGTTTGCGGTAGTGGTGTGAACTGGAAAGGCGGCACCGGTTTATCAGCCGCGTAACCAGGCCCGCATGAGAACAAAGTCCGGAAAGTGAGCACGTACTGAGCACAGAAGCGATTGAAGAGGATGGAAATGAAAGTTCCGCCGTGCTCGCGGAGCTTCAAGCTGAGCGGAGTGGCTCCGCTTACTCCGCTGACCAAGCGCTTATGTCGGCGCGGCTGATTATATCGGCCGGCGCTTGCGTCTAATTGGCTGCGGCTGGAGCAAGTCATTGGATTCCATGGCCAATTAAATGGAATGTTCTTAGTAACAATAGGTATCATTGAGAATAGCTCTCATTGGCAAGATTCTACTATATAAGCAAATATTAATCCATCCATTGCGGCCTCCCAAGGTCTATTCATCTGAATTTAGGGCAGATATTGACAGGATGGATTCGAACTTCGGAATCAAATTTTAATATAGTAATATAATAACTACAAAGCTAATGAGCGAGAGGAGTCTAGGAAGGGGATAGAGGAATAGAAATTTAACAGAAAGAGAGAGGAATAGACATTTACCAGAAGGACAGAGGCATGTATAAGCCCAAAAAGGAACCCTATAGTACAAGACCAACGTCTATACTTCTGTCCAGGTAGGATGTGATCCAGCCTATAAAATCTCGGCCATGTCCTATGCTGTACCTAGCCCAGGGAATCCAAAAAAGAGGGAAAATGTGAATATACAGAAATGTCGACCTGAACCCATCCGAGCTTGCGCGCGCTGAGGCGCCATGGCATACTTTTTCCCCTAGCATTCAAGTTTAATATTATTCTTCTCTTCCCTTAAGATCAGTCATACATCGCCAACTTGATTTAAGTTCACCTTAGACGGCTGTAAAATAAAATACATACAGGAGGTACGTTCGGTATAATTTCGGTTTCCCCACGCTCGAACTGTAGGTTGTTTTGAATGATTCTAGTGCGAGCAATTTCTTAGGGACTACCTGTAACGATTCGTGTTTATAACATTGATAGACCAACTTAAAGAAATAGAGCCGACACTGTATACGAGAGCCTTGTCCCTGGTTAATAAAGGTTATACATTGAAAAGACGTTTTCACAAATTGATCAAAGAATACATAGAAATGAAAGTCGCCTGCACAATTTATGCTTTTTACCGATTTTGTATACACCTAAGAAGACATCAAAAATGTCACATAAAAGGAACACCCAAAGAACATACCGGAGGGTTCTTACATATAACATCGCTGGTACCATCTTGGTCCAAATAGACCAGATTATCAAAGTCCTAGGTCCTTAAGGACACAGGCAGCATAAGCGGCGGACTATTCTTGTATGTTGTACATCAAAATGTCATATGTACGTTTTATGCCTTTTACCACCTTTTCATCTTTCTATATGGCCATAAAACTGAGGTGAAAGATACCCAAAAAGACATTCCCTTATGCCTTTCGTATTATGGATGCCTTGAGACAGACACCATACACGTGTCAGTCTCTCTGTTGAGGACTAAGGGCAACATAGTTGAGTAATAATACCCCATAACAAGATCACGAATTTAGAATGAAAACTAATACAGGAGACTCAGTTGCATATTATCGACATAATAAAATTTTGAAGTATCTACCCAAAGCTTGTTTATCAACAGCTCCAAACATCCAAGTTGGAGGAAACCCATATACACAATGAAAACAAAAATACCAAGCAGATCAACGGTAGACAAGAAGAAAAAAAGAAGAAGTGCAAGGCCAACAACAAGAAAGTAAAAAAGGTGGGAAAAAGGCGAGACCATAAAGGGAAATCAAAGAAGAAAGAAACCAACAAAACCAAAGACCGGAATCGGAATATAAACCACTTCAAATCAAACAAAACCAAAGTATTTTCAAAAGAAGAAAAGAAAAGCAAACAGACCCCATTTGTACCGGCACCTCTCAAGATGACACCCAATTTTTATACCATAAGAAAACCCAAAAAAAGACAACAACTCCCCTGGCAAAGCCTTGATGAGCGCTAAGTTTGTTGACCAGAGCCATCACTCATATATGTTCGTTAATACCCATACCCATGCTCCATTAGATCGCCATTCGTGACAAGACCCCCACGTCTCATTTAGACAGTGTGGGAGAGAGTCATCCCGTTAGGGTGTGGGTGGCCCAGCGATCCCGTGCGGAAAGGCAGGGATCTTTGGTGGATAGAGTCCATGTGGGACTGCTGGGCATGGTGATGGGACATGTCATGCATGTGCGTGTGCGATACCATGGGCATCTGGTAGGGCATTGAAGGCTGGGGCATCCCCTGGCTAGTAGCCGGTGTAGCATAGTCGATAGGACTGAAGATGTTCTGGCGGAAAGATGGGGTCCAGGTGTCGTAGTGGCCGTTTACTCCGCGCTGATCGGGTGTGGAGCTTGGGTAGGTGTTGTGAGCGGAGTAGTCGAACGCTGAGACGTCGTGGGGACTGATCATCTCTGCTGTCACGGGAGTGCTGAGCATGGGCTGTGAGAAGGAATCGCTGTATTGGGGAGGTGTGGTGTAGTAGGGGCGGTCTTGGCGGGTGGGGTTTTCGAAATTGAGAGGCTCCGCCATGGAGAAGCTGCCTGGGAGAGAGCGAGCTGATGGGATGTTGTTGTCGATAGGTGTGGTTAGGGAGGTAGACGCCTGCTCGAATGAGGAGATGGGGGTCATTAATCCTTGGTTGAGGTGCTCGGGCTCCTCGATAGTCACTGAGTTGGCGGAGTCGTCTTCTTCATCGCCCTTAGGGCTAGGGCCGCGGTTCATAGTGTAAACGATCATGTTAGCATCGACCTCGCCTCGTTCGAAGCGCTCCTCCATCTTGCGGACCCGGAGAATCTCGTAGATGATCTCAACATGGGATGCGTGTTTTAAGCTTCGCTTAGTGTCGCCAGCAACATCCTTAAGCTTATCGGCAGTGATACCGTAAGAACCGAGCTTGCGGATAATGTGAAGCAAGAGCTCAATGCGATACTCTTTTCTCAAGTGATCAGGCTCCTTGTGCATAACACCGGGAGGCCACCACTCGGGCTTGGTCTTTTCTGGGTCACCGGTAGTACCGGGGGCGGATCCTGGTGGTGCCTTGCCACCATTGTAAGGGTGTCGAACCTGCTTGCGAGGCTCGATGAATTTGATGAATGCTTTGGCAACCATACGGCAGTTCAGCTGTTGGAAGTGCTTTAGGGCACCTTCGTAGTAGCCCATGACCTTTTGGGCATCTCCAATGCGGAGAGGAACCATTTCGGTAGAGCTAGGGAGGTCCTCGCTCTCAGAGTCCTGCTCAGTCATGCGGTCATCACAGACAGAAATAGCAGGAGCGTTGCCCTTGCGACGTCTCACCCGACGAGGAGATGTGTCCATTGTCTCTGTAGATTGGTATTAGCATGTATTATATTGATTGGACCTAGGGTCACTTTGACATACGGCGAGCAGGGGCATGGTAGCCGATACGTTCACCCAGAATCTCGAGGAAGTTCTGGCGAACTTCTGGGGTGAACACAGTCAAGTTTTGCTCTTGAATAGAAGATGATTCATCAACCTTAAGTTTGCCGTCACGGTCAAGGTAAATCATGGCGAAGTGAGCATAAGGAGGACGGAATGATGAGCGGGAGCTGGTCATCATTGGCTAAACCGGATATCAGTATCAGTAAGAATGGAACCCGGATTTCTCTTGGGGAAAAGCATACAGGAACATCGCCCCATCCTGGGGGTCCTTCGAGAGCCGAGGCAGACCTCTTCATGGCTCCGCTTGTTGGTTTATTGTAAACCATGGTGGCGGATATAAATACGTATATGTGCTGGGGACGCAATCGTCTCGAGAAGGGTGATTGAGTCTCAGTCAAAATAGTATAGCAAGATACCAGAAATGAGAGTGATGTTGGTTCTTGATGTTGCACGTCCAGGAGAGAGACAGTTCTCTTTATAGATAGTGTTGCTCAAGTGGCGGGGTTGCGATTTAGTGCGAAGAAGTTGGTACTAATGCTATGGAGTCGCAGTCAGCCAACTGCCTCTAAGCATCTTCGGCAGCACCAGTCCGTCCCCGGGAGAGAGTGTTCATGAACACCCAACGGCGGAATGGGCATTTCCGCTCCGGTACGGGAACCGGTAGGACAAACGCTGGGGTTCCGACAACCAGGGTCCAATCAAGCTCTTGCAAACAGAACCAAAAGAAAATTGGCGGGATGGACTCACACAGTTCGAGTAGACAATGTGCAGGTGTCTCAATGGGGATGGAAAGCGGATAACTGCAGAGTACTGTTCGTAACCGGGATGCAGGAACAAAAGGAAGCCTCCACTTTTTGTGTTCCCAAGTAAACGAAAGACAACGGGGGTTGGAGCAGTTGAGAATGAAATATCTTGAAAGAAGATGGTCAAGTGGGATGATCTTTTAAATAAAGCTGAGAGTGTATAGAAATCAAGAAGAATAAGAAGGGGATATGCAAGCCTTTTTCAGTTCTAGACTTTAATGTGTAAAATGACAAAAGGACGATAAAAAAATGACCAGCAATTCAACATGGATGATCCTGGAAGACGAATGCCTCTCTGATCGTATGCATGCAGCGAGATTGGCGCCTCAGGACGTGCAGTAGCTTAAGACTTGGGACCCGATCCAGGATCCCTGTTCCACTATTTGTAGATCGCAGGTATATTTATTAATTTTCTTTTTCGATTTGATTTAATTCTTTTTAAGATTATATTTCTTTTTGTTTTTAATATTATCATTTAATTATTATTTTATTTCACATTAATTCTACTCCGTATTAAATTCAAGTCGGCGCAAACCTCAAGAGTGGCGCTCATTAGTTATCGATCGACCCCCCACAACCAAACTCATGGCTTGCTGTCAGTTCAAAAGACTCAAAACTTCAGGTGATCAGATCCCTAAACCTTAGAATCACTTACTATTGGTATACGAGGCAACCAATTCTCGGCCTAGACCTAGCAATATAGATGTAAACTATAGCGAACACGAACCTATTAACCCTATAAGCACTCGCGTCTAGCTGTCAGGCACACCCAAATACCCCCGTTGGGAAGACGCACAGGCCATATTTGACGCCGTGTGGGTGCTATTCTTAATGTGCAGATCGCAGACCTTTCGGGGGTTCCGGTTCAAAAAATAAAAAGAAATAATTCGTCATCCGTGATGTTGCTTTGAATTCAAATCTAAAGAAAAGTACGGACTACCAAAAGTGTACGGAGTATAATGATGCCTATATTATCCTATTATATTACATTATATTACTTATTACTTAAATTTTGAAGAGTGAATATTATCTATAACATTTTTTTGTGTTCTCGATCTTCGGATCTCAGCACCAAAGTGCCCCGACACTAGCAACCAACCAAGTGAATGAATCCACACTTCCCCATTCTTCGTGAACCTATCAAGGTGCGGCTTGTGCGTGGCCCAACATCCTGGATCCTGGGAGATGACTCGCCGATAAACTGTCACTGTTTCTTTTTTATTCCCGTCTTGAGCTTGTTGCTGTTGTCGATCTCCGTTCATTGACAGATACCTACTCCATACTCCGGGGTGGCAAGCCAAAAACAGTGGGTTTCTGGAATCATAGACCTTGGCTTCAGCTGAAGTATAGGATAGCCCAAGGCCCCTGAGATCAGACCTCAAATCTCGCCAAATCAATCCAAATCGATCCAAATCGATCCAAATCAAATCAATCATTTCATTTGAAGCGAAAGGGGAATCAAAAAGTACGTTCTAATACGACCGTAGCTCTCGCCTCCGCCGTTTTACCCGTGAAGATGGGTTATAATAAATTCAAAAACCGCTCTAAGACAGATCGAGTTAATACAACATACTCCGTAGAGTGTTTGGCATCCTAATACCGTGATCTACTCTCTCTCCCGGGGAACAAAATTGGCTGCAAAATGGTTCGAGTAACTATACCACGGCGGGTTAGCCGCGGTACTTTTTGACGTCGGCGACCTTTGTGACAGCCCAATCAGATGCCTTCCTTACTCCCCGCCTGGGTCTGTGCTGAGAGTCCAGGGGAAAGGAGCTCCGTACCCAGGATCCTGTCAACGCGTCCATCTCCCGTCCCGGTGGATTACACTATTTACACTATGGGTCTTGAAATCACCCGGAAACAAAGAAGATGTTCATAACGGCCCAATTTGGTCATTGCTACCTCGCTACCTAAAAAAATAGGGGGATGAGAGGATCTAAAACACTACCCACATACTATCTCTTGTCTGCTATCTTGACATGACAAAAGGGGAACACATACTTCCTCGGTCCCACTATTCATCCACGCTATATCGGGGAAGATGCAAGAAGCAGATTTTTTTTTTTAAATGCACAAACGACTCCAATCTGATTGTGTACTTCGAGTATTGTATCGATATGATCAATCTCATCGAGCTAAACTACTGCTAACTGCTCCGTACATAACATTGTAGCATTTCAATTGCCGTGCCGTCTTCTGCAATAATATGGAACCACGGTCTTGTGAATTCCGAATATAGTAGTCCGTAACCTGGGCGGAGACAATGTAGGCAAATCATATTTTTTAGGTTACCGCGCAGGGTATAGAACAAAGCAGTGTCGTCGAACTAAACAGTTTTAGGGCAACGGTACGTTATTTGTCATTCTTTGAGGGCGCAAAAACCGCAAAATTAGGCATACTCCGATATGCTTGATCCAGTGACTAAAAAATCTACGGCTTCAGTGATGACATCCCCGGATAGTGCCTCTTTGTTTGTGCCCCCATTACCTGTTCCCGGGTTGTTTGCTTGGTCCGCTTAGCCGCTGTAATTTTTTTTAGCGTGGGAATCAAGTGGACTTCTATACTCCGTACTCCGTAAACTACTCTACGTGAGAGTCAGGTGAGAACCACATAGTTAAAGAAATAAAATAAACAAAAGTCCTTGTTGCATTTGAAATCACGGATTACTCCGAATGTACGATGTACGGACTGCGGAGTACCATATTCAATACTCCGTATTTCAATTCAATTTGAATGGCTTGGAGGGGTCTAGATTTTAGCGCACCCCCTTTTTTTTAAAATTATGTCAGAGACGATCAGGCTTCTAACATTTGACACTTGCAAACAGAAGCTTCTCATTGGGCCGTGCGAGTGGTGATCGTTCTCAAACGCTCAAACCAGCCACAACGTGGCTCAGTCGGCTATTTTGAGCACTGCCACACCTGTACAGGGACATGACAGCTGAATCTTGGAAGAGGCAAAATATCTGCACTATTTACTTAAAGAACAGCAAAGCATTCATGGATGTTCCCTGTTGGACCTTAATCTATGTGAAGATTTTGAAACCCTGAGACAAACGTCAGGAAGTTTGACAGCTTGGCATTGCCAATCCCTATCACACTAGTTTCAGAGCAAACATTTTATCAGCGCCAACTATTAATATAGTGACCGCCACTGCCGCTTACCCTACGATCGAAAAAAAGCACTAGGGCGCGGATTTGTTCGGTGATGCAAGCATCCTGAAACCTCAAAATGAAGAGTGGACTTGGCTCGGTGGACTCGGCGGATATGTGACAGCGGGTGCACTGACGTAAAGAAAATAACTGGGTCGGGGCCAGTCAGAGGCTTGGGGATAACTGCAACAATCACACGATCGGGGTTGGTAGGGCTTTGAGATTTTGGTGGTCTACAATTCCAAACAACTTCATGTCTGTGCCCGTCGCACACTTCTGGAATGCTTCAGAAAAGGTCTCGGGCTAACTACAAAGACTGGGTTGTCTCTTTGGGTTGGTTCACCGCTACGGGAGTTTACAAAAATATACAAGGGAACCTCCGCAAGGCTTTTTTTCGTGCTTTAGAAAATTACTTCATGTTTATAGTTCGCTCCGGAACTCGATGGTTCAATAGTCAGCCTCGGACTTGCGTCGATCGAGATAGGACTGAGCGATTTGAGGGGTAGAATGTGGAAAGGGGGTGGGAGTGTATACAGAGTGTGAGTCTGTTCGCAGAGTATCAGCGAGAATATCGAGACGGTGGTTTCGAGACTGCATGATCGGTGTGCGACAAAGATACTGTTGAGAGGCAACCTGCTCCCATGACAGATGGAGAGCAAAGCATATTTCCTAGTCGGGTCAGAGATAGCTGCATTCACCAAAGTATCCTCGTATTAGAGAAACGCCACGGCCTATCAAACCGACACTTTATTTGGATCTTCGGGACGGACTTGGAAGGCAGATGACTAGTGCAAATTGTTGCGCAAATCCGAAGAACCGCGCGCACGATCGATCAATGATGCGCATCGATCGAGCACGATCGAACCAAGAGAGACTGACATTGCGTCATCCAGCGTCCACCTCTTTGTCGGGGCGTTTTGTGGCCAAAGCCGGGGCCCGTACAGAGTAGTCCCCAGACACAATTTGGTACCTTTTTTTAAGTCTAAGATTGGCAAAGGGGGAAGTTCGTGGTCAGAAGGACAGTGACATTCGCGCTTGTACTTTGGCATTGCCCAATAATCAGTCGACGATGGCTTTTTTAGAAACCGTGGAGCATCCCTTTTGGTCCCGGTCCAATCTCGCTAGGACCCTGGGGCCCAGACTCGACGCCGACTCGACCCCACTAAGTCACTAGACTGGGGCGGGCCGGGGATGACGGTCCGGTAAAAACTAAAGCTGTCAAACTCCAGATAGGGTCTAGTTTGTTCTCCACTATCCCAAGGGAAAGGTCAAAGTTGAGGATCATAGAGCCTTTTGACTTTACCCGACGGCTTGGAATTGATGCAGAAATGAATCTCCCTTTCGCTTATTCAATTATCACATTCGATAATT